ATAAAAAATACATATATATATATATATATATATATATATATAACGGGTATTCAGCTAAGAATAATGTATATAATCCAGACACATTTCCGTAAAAAGTACTCAGTTCAAAATAATTTTCTTTTAGACGCTTATATAGAATTATAGCACATCTATAGACATCTATACTATTTAAAATTGTAGAACATTCCTTAATCAGTTCGAAAAACGGGTATTCAGCTAAGAATAATGTATGTAATCCAGACACATTTCCGTAAAAAGTACTCAGTTCAAAATAATTTTCTTTTAGACGCTTATATAGAATTATAGCACATCTATAGACATCTATACTATTTAAAATTGTAGAACATTCCTTAATCAGTTCGAAAAACGGGTATTCAGCTAAGAATAATGTATGTAATCCAGACACATTTCCGTAAAAAGTACTCAGTTCAAAATAATTTTCTTTTAGACGCTTATATAGAATTATAGCACATAATTGTAATACTTAATTTTTTTTTCAGTTCCTTTCCCTTCTGGTTGGAGATTCGCCACCTATGTTGCATCTGCATTTTTTGGAATCATCATTGTCGTCTGTGCGCTACTCATTTGCTGTAAAAGATGTCCGACTGATTCATGATTCAACTGTGGAATATCGAGTAAATAGCTTTGGTTTTAAAATTAGTGTTATATATTGGGCTGGCATGACAGCAATTTTGTGAAATAAAGCTTAAATTGTTTTATACAAAAAGTGAACTTTAATCAGCCAAATATCTCCAATTTTGTTCATATGTATGCTGTTAATATATATATCACGCCATTTATGTAGAGACTTTATGATTCAATATTGATTTCAGAAAATTAGACATTGCTAGCAAAAAACTCAATGAATTGCTGTAGGAGACAAATGTTATTACTGAAAACTTTACTATTTGAATGTTTTTAAATAATTGATAATCCGAAACGTCGAATCTAAATGGAGTTTGCAGCACAACTTCTCCTCAACCATGCTGTAATAATTTTGTACTAGTTGCAAAAGATGTGTGATGCTTCACATATAGTATAGATATATATAGAATAAAAACATAAAGACAAAAAAGATTAAAAAAGAAACAGAGAAAAACGAAGAAAATTAAGAAAATCAGTAAGTTTCATTAATCTTTATAATTTTCCACGTTTCTCTATATTATTAACTCATATATATAAAATTAATTCAATAAAATACAATTAGTTTGTTAATCAAACATACACACACCACAGAGAGATAAAGAGTAGAATTCGAACTAGGCTAAACATAACAGAAATGAATAAAAATTAAATATTATGGAATTCTTTCATGCTTTGTAAAAGTTAACTTCTGCTTATATGAAATGTTCAGCAAAATGCAAGTAATAACAAACTTTCACCTTCTCGTGCTCTGTTGTAAACAATCTACCATACCCCAAAATTCGTGAAAAAATTTCTTGAAATGGAGTAAATACATATGGTTTGATGTAAGCTTGTTTAATTATTTGTGTTCAGAATTAACTATCTATACCCTTTAAAGTGAATTGGTAATGATTTGAAATAAATAATTTTTCATGCAATTTTTGAAGTTTTGCAAAATTCATATTAGATCCCATTCTTAACAATGACAAAATAAAGATAATAATAAAAAAATCTGATTGACAAATACTAACTGATTAACCCTAACTAATTAACAGATGCCACTTTCTTATTGTAACGAAGTATCGTTTTGTATTTCTCAGATTTATCATAATGTCTACGAAATAGAAAAGGGAAAGAAATTAAATACAAATAAATTAATAAAAAAATCTAGCACAAAAATAATGAAAAAATAAAAAAGAATTAAAAAACTAAAATTATATGCATATTATAGGCTCCTAATCAATCGGACCAATAGCGATAAAATTCGATATCCAGATACTTGGAACACTCGGAAGGTCACTGTGGACATTAGAACTTTCTCCGACGAATCGTTCGAGTGAGATGAGCGAAAAATGAAATGCAAGTTTCTGATTTGTTAAGCGTTAGCCATTGTTTTAAATTTAACTATAAACAATTTAAGTTTTCAAACATTTTAAAGATAGCATCAGTGTGAGATACTGGGGGTGGTCAAAATAATGGAAGCACTTCTATACCAATAAATTTTTTCATAATTCTACTGAAATAATTAGAGAAACATTCTATAACTTCAGAAGATTTTGGATAATGCGATTAATCATACATATCAATGAATTTTAAAGATTTGAGGGACCGACAATAAATTACAAAGAGAAAATATTGTTTTTGATCACTTTATGCCAAAAATGTAGCAATAGATTTGCAAATTGTGGCATCTACATTGTTATTTTGGTTATTATAAGCAATAATCACAAAAAATTTCGTAAGTCTCGCTCAAATATTTATAAAAAAATAAACATATTTATAATTACAAAAATTTTGCTTTAAAATTTGAAAATAGCTACATTTGAGCAAAATCGGCTGAACGTGTCCTGAGAACGAATAGAAGAAAATAATTCTGATCTAGAAGTAAGCACATTGCATTGTGAAAAATAATAAACTGAAGTGAGAAAGAAAAAATAAATTATATGTTATGTAAGAATTATAAGTTAATTTTGCTTGTAGAATGAAAAGCAAAATATATACTATTGCAAACAAAAATGGCCATCACCTTGATTCTCTAAGCCATTATAAAAATTTTATGTTTTTAATCATTGACATTGATTCATATAAAAAAATTAGATCAGGAAATCAAGAGAGATTCACAAAATTTATACCATACATTACCAGGAATGACTTTTTCCGGTATGTTAGTCTAGATTTAAAATAATCAAAGGAAAATTTTGGAGCTTGGGTAGCTCAGTTCATATTTATTCTTTTTTTACAATCTTGGTTAAAAAGAGAAGTAAGCGTTCTTGCTCATTTTCAAAATTGTTTGATGACATCTTCAACCCAGGAACTCCAAAGAGTAAAAATTTCATGACCATTTAGATCTTTCTTTTATAGTATGAATATTTTTAAACATATGAAAATTTGGAATAATTGAGTAAATTTTTTGTGTAATTGTAAAGCAATTTTTATACTTAATAGTAATAAGTAAAAAGTCCATGTTGAAAATTATACTTTGCCTAATGTGCTTTTGTTTTAAATTGAACGAATTATTTACGGTTAAGGAAAATAGATGGTTGTAATTGGAATATTGCTTTGTTAAAATGAATAAAGAAAGAAAGAAATAATCGTTTGAATTATTCTTTGTGTTTTATTCAACTAGTTATTTTTAATATTAATTACTCAATTTTTTTTTCACATTAACATATAACATTAATATTTATGTATTTTTTAGCATTTACTATGCGCATGTATTTACACATTGAGAAAAAATGTCTGGTCAGAACTTCCAGAATATGGAATAACTTAACCTTGCTTCTAGCTCCACATCTAAGAGCTCTGTAATTTTTATTGAAGCGCTTTGATAATAATTTTGGTAAAATAAACAATAAAAAATGGCTTTGTGTGATAAAATTTGGTGATTGTGATACAATTTAGTAAGGTAATTTTATCATTATGTTGCAAAAATCATTTATTCGGTTAAATTTACTTTTCTGTTTTGTATTTTTTTAATTAAATGTGTGGTTATAAGAACTATAATTTTGAGAACCAGAATTTCCGGAAAACCATTATCATTTGAAACGGCAAACAACTAAATAAATGGTTGAAATACCTAATATTTTAGATTTAACTATCAGAATTATGGTTCATTTTATCAGAAATGTCATTACCATGCAGTACCGCAATTTTACCACAATTGTTTCTCCGTACTTAAGGGGGATTTTAAAATTATTACATATAAATATTTGTTAAAAACTACGGGTATTAAACATCACGAATTAAATCTTTAAATAAAAAAATGGATCAAAGGTTTTGGCAAGAACTTTGGGTTTTTAAAATCTACGTAACAAAACGTTTGTTGAAACGTATAGGTGTTAAAAGCATATAAAGAAGTGTTTGATTTAAAATATAAGGAAGGGCTTTTTACACTAAAATTGATAAAAGAAACAAAGGCTAAATGTTTTGAGCTTCAGTGACAAATAATTCAAATAAATCTGTATAATCCAAATTTCTTGAACAAGGAAAAGGGAGATTTGAGTCAGGAGAAAAAATGTAATTAATTAAATGAATTAAAGAAAGAATATAAAAGAAAGAATATAAAGAAGACTATAAATGAATTTAAATGAATCAAAAAAAATTTTTGTTTACATCAGGCTCAAAAATATTCCTTAAATCTCTATGCTTGAAAAATATTTGAAAGAAAAATTCCTTATCTTGTCTCGAAATATAGAACATTTTAAATATTGTTTTATTATTTAAAAATTCCTTGAAGTATCTCTTAGAAATACAGAAACTAGTTTATTGAAGATGAGAAACTATTTGGTATGCTTTTGGTAAACTATTTGGTTACTTTCCCATATATCAATAAGTAAAGCTTTCATTCTCAGTTGATATTGAATGGAATTAAACATTTTATGCTTGAAAAGTAACTCAGTAAGTAAAAGTATTTAAGAGAGATATAGCACAAATATCGACAATAAAATTTCCTACAGCCATGGTAAGAAGGAGAAAAGAGATTACGCAAGTTAAGACTAATGCAAGAGCAATTTTTTTATATGGAAAAAAGCTAAATGAGCTATTTAAAATTTGTTTTTAATGGTTCCAATATACCTCTAATTTTTTTAATACTTGTATTATAATACTTTGTTGAAAATTCATAATCAACTAAAACAATTTTTCCCAAAATTCATCATATCTTAATTCATACCAACGTGTAGAAATCTCCATGATGATTAGTTTTAAATTACAATGCAAAAGATTACAATAAATATATATATATATCCTTTTAAAAGAAAAATATAGAATTAGTTTATTTAGTTTTAAAATTCCTTATGCATGAATATAAACTGCTGTTTGTAGAAAATGCAACACCATGAAAGAATCATCAGAATCAAATGAAATTTAATGCAGAAACGACTTGTACTGATACAAATGAATGATGAAATTTTCAAAACAAAAGAAACAAATTAAGCGTCCGAAATCAGTATTTGGTGCAGCCACCACGCGCTGCAATAAGTGCTGCTATACGACGTGGCATGGAGTCAAACAGATGTTGAATATCTGCTTGAGGAAGAGAATTCCATATCGCTTGTATGCGCAACCAAAGTTCGTCTTTGGAAACTGCAGGACGCGGATCACGAGTGAGACGCCGACCAACCATATCCCACACGTGCTCAATAGGCGACATATCCGGCGAATAAGCAGGCCAAGGAAGAAGTTGCATGCGTTGTGCTGAACAGAAGTCTCTAACAGTCCGCGCAACATGTGGGCGTGCATTATCCTGCTGAAAGATAGCTCCAGGGATGCCTTGAAGGAAAGGAACGACTTCGGGCTGTAGCACTTCACGGACGTATCTGTTGCTATTGAGATTACCCTCAATTCGTATCAAATTGGATCGTCCATGATACGAAATCGCACCCCAGACCATAACTCCGGGTGTTCGACCACTATGTCGTTCAATAATACACTCAGGAAGGCAGCGTTGACCGGCATAACGTCTAACACGAACACGGCCATCATGGGTCCACAAATTGAAGCGTGATTCATCTGAAAAGACAACTTGGTGCCAATCAGCTCGCCAGTCTCTGTGCTCAAGAGCCCACTGCCGACGCAGCCGTCGATGATCCGCCGTGAGGGGAATCCTGTATAATGGCACCCTTGCACGCAATCCACGGCGCAGCAGACGACGACGAATTGACGAAGCCGACAATTGTACACCTGTAGCAGTAGACCAATGTGCTGCCAGCTGCCTGGAGGAAGCTGTGCGATCATTCACCGCCATGCGGAGCAGGTGTCGATCATCGCGCTCTGACGTCACCTTCTGTCGTCCAGTGCCTGTTTTTCGAGTTGTTCGGTGCTCGTCGGTCCACTGCTTCCAAACTCGCATCACTGTGGAACTGTTCCGCTGCATACGAGCTGCTATTGCGCGATAGGAAAATCCTCCTTCTCGAAGGCCGATTATCCTCCCTCGTTCAAACTCCGTAAGTTGCTTGAATTTCTTATTCTTCCGTCGTGGAGGCATACTCAGGTCTCACTAAACGTTTGCCACTAACAAATAATCATAGACTATTTTCAACGTCCCGCTACAGCACTTTATTTATACGCTTTCAGCATCAATTCAGAGGGCGCTGCGCGCGCCACGCACGCGCGATGGCTCTGAAACTTTATTAATTTGCATAATATCCTATAATTGACATTTGCTGCGAATTTCATTTGATTCTGATGATTCCTTCATGGTGTTGCATTTTCTACAAACAGCAGTTTATATTTCTTTTATGCATGGATATGAAGGATATATTCTCCCATTCAGCATCTTCAAAATCTCAAAAAGTTATTCTTCACCTACCAGGTCTCAATCTCAATATATCGGGGGTTTGAATTAAGGTAAGCTATTTAGCAAAATTTAAAATTAGAAATCAAGTACGAAAACGCACTTTCTCTGGATAAATATGCGTTTTATTACGACGGATTAGGATTTCTGAAAATTTAAAATACAATGGTAGCCGCTATCTGGGAAATATGGCACTAATAGTTTGGCTAGGAGAGCGCTACAGAGTTTTTACCCCTTAATATTAATTTAAGTTTTTTTTCGTATTTTGCCATTTTTCGAGAAGCTTTCTAATGAATTAAAAATATTTACACACAATTATAAAATTCGTTTACTTAAAGTTTCTATTCAAAAAGTACTTTTTTATAATTATTTATTATTTTGTTTAATAATAGTAGAAAAAGTTTTGAATACAAATGCAGTACAAATAAGCACATTATGTAACAAAAACAAATTTTTATATCATTTTAAAGATTGTACTTTTGTATGGCAAAATACAAAATTTGAACGAAATCTATAGAATAGATCTTGAGAAATTGAATCTTAAATGTACAACTTCTTTAACAAAATACAATACATTTATAAATTAACTTTTTATTAGTGAGAAAAAATAAAGCAGATCAAATCGTTTTGGAAGGAAAGTTCATCATACTCAATGTTTTTAATTATTTGCTTAGCTTGGTCCATGATATGGTTAATGAAATGGGTGAAAAAATGAAAATAGATAAGATCTTGAAAAAGGACACTAAGAAGCTTAGAGTTCGATCGTTCGAACATGTTCAAGAGGAAGAAAAAATTAAAGAAAAAGTACCATTAATGTTTGTTTTAAAGGATGGATATTTTCAAGCAAGTCGGAATTATGGACTCGGGTTTTGGATTTTCGAATTAGATTATGGATTATGGTTGGATTACTTTTTGGAACTTGGTTACACATTATTAGATCATTGAATACTTAATGAAATATAAATTTGAAACAATAAGTTAATATATATAAATTAATATATACAAAAATAGCTGAATAGGAGAAAAATGATTATAATCAAGAACCAAAATAAAAATGTTTATAAAAAAAACAAGAAAAAGAAATTTTCTTTAAAATCAGTAAAAAAAAGAAATTAAAAAAAAAACAGATTTGAAAAAAGGGAAGGAAATTAAAAAAAGAAGAAGCGGAATGAAAAAAATTAAAATACAAGAATAATAAAAAAAAATGAGAATAAAACAGAATTGAATAAAAAAAAAAAACGAGAAAAAACAACCTTTTAATGCTACCCAGAACTAACTAAAAGTTCTGGAAGGTCCCAAGTCCTTTAAAAAGCAGAGGGAAAGGTTTACAACATAAACAGTTACTATAAAAACAATCTTTAAATATCGCTTGCACTTACATGAGGCCGGGGGCCAGAATTAAAAACACAAATCAAATGGCGGGCCGCAACTTTATCAAAATTTTATGTCGGACTCTTTTATTGGAAGAAACATTAAATATTACTGTCAGATTTTTACCAAGTTGTACAAAACAAAAGTATTGAATTACAAATTTAAATAAGAAGTAGATTTTTAAAAATATTTGATTGCATACTAAAAAATTCGGACTACAATAACTTTAATGTGCACCTATGTATTAAACAATTAATGTGCAACAGATATCTAATTGTGAAGATATAAAACTTTAAAAAGGTTGGTATTAAAACTTACATAGTAGCACACAAAATGTTCTATGAGAAAATTGGGGTTTGTCTGCTGCAACCACAAGAGAATAGATATTTACATTTAAAATTTACAAGTGTGTGTGTAAATATTTTCGTCAAAAATGAGTGGTTTCAAAAAGTTAAATTGGAGAATTTCTTCGAGAAAATTTTTGATACACACACGCAAAATTATATTCACACAATGCAAAAAAATGAAATAAAAAAGAGCAACATACACGATTATTTTTGTATTGGAATAAATATTTTCTTGGATGCAAAACCTGAGATATAAATCTTTTTTGCACCGCTGGTATGTTAAATTTCACAGAAACGAAGAAATTAGGTTTTTATTAAAGAGAAAAGCATTTTAAACCCATACAGATTTTTTACGAAAATAGTCCTCAAAAGAATGACAACCAGTAATATATTTTAGTTTGCGATCCGCAGAAAAGAGATTCGCGGACCAGATTCAGACCCCGGGCAGCCAGTTGGAAACCACTGAGCTAGACAATAAAGGGGCACGTGAGATGATTTTATACCCACTTCCCATACAAGCCAGACCTGTCTAGCAAACGCACTTTTCAGGCAAATGTGCAGTGCGCCAAAATAAAATTATTAAAAAAAAACGGATGTCTCTGAATAATTTTTGATCTAATGATCGGTTCTTCACCTTTCAGGCCTCAATCTTGATGTTCGCGGGGTATCTTCATGTTCACTGAATGTTCGAGGCTTCGAGAGGTAACTTCGATTATCCCAATTAATTAGTGCAAACGATATCTTAAGCTGTAGAATCAGACACGAAAACATACTTTCTCTGGATAAATATACCCTTTTTTTAAAAGGATTAGAATATCAGGACTTTAACTGATAAAAATATGAAGCTAACTTTTCCTGAATATTTTAGCCTGCTACAGAAATTAAAGGCAGTCGACCCTCAACATAAAAATAATGATGAAAGGATATTTAAAAAAATGTCAATAATTTTATACTTATCCTTCTCAATATTTTCTTACTAGTAGTGTTAAAAAGTTTTATTTTATTTTATTTTTTTTAAGCTGAACTCTTGTTTTTTTATTAATTAATTAAAAAGAACTTTTTTTGTGTGCGATTGTCAAATTTTGCTATATATTGTAAGGATATGTTACGACATCCGGTTTTTTTCTATCATGATTCAAAATTATAAATTTTGATCATTTTCTACTGCTTTAATGTCACTCCAAATTTACATCTCACACGTGTTGATTTTTTGTGTACTTCTTATTGGTATGCATTTACTGAAATAGGGAAGAGAGGCCTAATGTAGATTTTTTTTTTTTACAAATTTGTCAAAAAACCTAATTATATATAATTTTGTTAATCAGTGAGGTATTTTTCAGCAATAATTTTGAACGTTTCTGATTTAGATTTAGATTTAAAATGTTAATTCCTTTGTAATATTTTTTTCAAAAAAGGTTTTTGTTCTCACAAGCCCCTTGTATTCTTATTAACTTGTTCTGTAGTCATTCATTTCCACTTAGAAAAGTTTATCTAAAGCCAAAATGTAAATAATTTCAACCTAAGCTTTATTGGAGAGTGAATATTGCCTTTTATTAATTAAAATACCCATTTGTATTAGAGCATTTCACCATACCTAGAAAGACATTTTGGAAGCAAATCAATGCATTTGAACACTATTATTCAATGTGGTTCATTTGCTAAATTGGTTGCTTTTTTCATTTTATCAAAAAATAGAGTGAGATGGATTTTCTATTGTTAACTTATAAAATATAACTGTATGTAATACGTTTACTCAGTTTTATCCGTAATGAAAAAATGAAAAAAAAAGTGATGGATTTTACGACACTCATAAGCGCCATCCTTTATTTCAAATTGTTATTATGTATGAGAAATGTTATAATTAATTATTTGAATTTAACTATTGAAGAGAACTATTTTGAAAGGTATGACCTGATTGAAAACTCCATTCGCTTCAAAGATATACAAATATGAAAAACCACTCGATAAATTTCAAGCTCTTCAAAAATATGAGCCCATTTTCAAGACTTGTCAGACGTGAATGTAAAGAAATAAAAATGATTTGAAATAAAAAACTTAAAATTTCCAAAGAAAAATGAAAAAATACAGATTAGAAACAAAACCAGAAAATCCACAGATTTCGAAGCGAAAAAGAGATTTATAAAAACGGAACGAGAAGAATCAGGGTGGCCGCGAAGCAAAATCAGAGTAAAATGTATTTCCAAGTGGTATGGAGAGGTGAGGAGGAATTAATGTCGTTTACAGGAGAGTCAACACTCAAATGAATAAAGCAATATTCCAAGGCATCAAGATGGGTAGATGTAACTAGAGTGGAAATAGTTTAATCATTATCAAAATCGAATTTATGCCCAAGATTTCAACAATGTGAAGCAACTGTAGATTCCTCGAATTCTTGATAACGGACGTACTATCGAGCTTCTTATTGTCTAAACTTTAGAGCACGTTTAGTTTACCTGATACTAACCTGATGCATGGAACTGACAAGGAATGTGGTAAATGCCCCAGTGATTATCAAAACTAATAAATCCTATTAGCTTTGATAATCGCTGGGCTTAAAGAGACTTAAATTTAATTTTATTAACAGCCCTGACTTAAAAACCAAATAGGAGAGGATATTTGCAGTTTTATGACAAACGGGAGAAAAAAAACGGTAAAGTAACAAGTTCTCTGTAAGGATTCGAAGAAAGGAGCTCTTAGGTTTAGTGTTATGTCGACTGTCATTTATCATTTATATATTTTTGAAGTAAATGAAGTTTTTGAATTATTAATTTAATAATTTGAAAGGTATTACAAAGTGTACAAATGACAGCACATACTTTTTCACATCAAAACGTAATTTTCACAGTAAAAATTTTTCAATGGTGTTAGAATAGTATTTTCAGTACGAAAATAATTATGATGCTAGACAGGGATGAAGACGGCAAGATGCAGCATATAAATTTAAGAGGTATCTTCTTCATTCCATACAATCGAGCTGAACGTCTCGTTGAAAATATATAAAATACTCTCTCCTTCTCCGTCATAAGTCCCTTATCTCTGCTTAGAGCCTCTTTCAATTCCAAAAATTTCGTTTAATCTTTATTAAAACCGGAGAGCTGATTTATCGTTTTTAACTTAATCGTATACCTAAAAATAGCTTTCTACAAAATTTAAATATATTCTTTTAACCATTTGTTCACTAAAAGCATCCTACGTCGGTAACGTTTTTTTAACAAGTATAATCACCCTGTGTGCATTAGTTCATCTCCTCTAAGAATTTGATAGCCGTTTATTCAGCTTATTTATTATTTTAGATTTGGGTTTCTCGCGTATTATAGATTAGAATTCGTATCCCGTATTGCGTAATGAATATCAATTTATATTCCTTTCTTTTTTTTTTTTTTTGATTCAGTACGAAGAATGAGCATTCAGCTAGAGTAAAATTAATTTGGAAATACTTGTTTTAGCTTAATATTTAGTACCTTTTACAATTTGTTTTAGTAGTTAATATTAAAGATTTAACGATTTCTAATTACGATAGACGACATTGTTTCGTATTTTCAAAATGATTTACCAATCCGTAACGAGCTTCCTTAATTTTGAACTAAACTACTGTTTACACTTATAAAACTATAAAAAGAGCTTTAGAACTTTTAATTTTACTTTTATATTTAAAATTGTATTTCATAGGGGGCTTAGGTTTATATCCACATTTAAGCTAAATAACAAATATTTTCTATTCAGTTTATTTTAAATTGATTTTACTCTATAAAATATTTAATATTTTAAGTATATTACATTAACACAGAATGGCAACGTACAAGAGCTTTTTTTTACAATATTTTTATGATTCACACTATAGAAAAATAACTTTTATTGAAGCAAAAAATGATAAAATAAAAAAAAACAAAAACAATGGAACTTTTAGGGACTTTTTGTACGATTTTATTACTAAATATCAATTTCTGAAATATAAAAATATAAATCAATAATTTTATACGCAAAATCTTTACAATTTTCTATAGTAATATAAAAAAAATTGGCTTTATAATCTTAATAAATGGTTATTGAACAATTAAAAATAAATTCCCCATAAGATATATCAGATTAGATTTAAAGTATGTGCAGAAATTGAGTTTAATGATTTTATTTCAAGAAAAGTGTTTAAAGATTTTATTGAATATTAAATATATTTTCTACTAATATTCGTATCTAGCACAGGCCAAGGTACCTAAGATTCTTAATCCGAGTCCTCCATAGCCTCCGTAAGCTCCACAGTGTCCGGGGCCAGCATACCCTGCATGCACCAAGGCACCCATATCCATATGCAAGACCGTATCCTGCAGATGCAGCTGGTATACCCAAGTATCCTTCATCTCCAACATACGGAGAATCGGAAATTCTGCTTTATTATTTTCTGATAAATATTTTTTATGATGTTTTTATTTAGTTCCAGTTGATGTTTTCAGTTTTTTTTTATTGCAGATGATAAAATTAAAAACAACTAAAAATTGTTTCACAAAATAATTTATTTTTATGCTATTATTATTATTTTTTTTTACAAAATTTAATATCCATATCTGGCATAGCCCAAGCCTCCTAAGATACCCAAACCATAGCCACCATATCCACCATAAGCTCCTCCATATCCAAGATTTCCATATCCACCATAAGCTCCACCATATCCGAGGCCACCGTAACCTGCTCCAAAACCTCCATAACTGTAACCTAGACCACCAAGACCATAACCAGCTGCTGCTGCAGGGACACCCAAATATCCTTCACCACCGGTGTAAGGGGCATCAGAAATGAGTTGAACGGCAGCTGGGTTTTGATTGGCGGTGCCTGGTTCGTTGGTCTTGACCTTGGCTCTGAAACCGGCTTTGTCAGCGATGTAGTTCACTTGTCTTTTGATACCTCGGGCATCAGTGAATCCGTAGCTACCAATTACGTGTCCTCCGGTTCCGGATTCTTCTCTGTGTTGTTCACCATGTTTATCCGTGATGCTGTATCCGAATTTGTAAGGCTTGGGAGCATGGTGCTCAAAGACTGGATAGTGGCTTTCACCCATCTGTAAATAATAATTTATACCAATAACTCAACACATGTGCATTGCAAAATAGTTATTTCAAGGAAGTAATATTAAAAAAAAATTTCTTTCGATTTTATAGCTCCGTGACTTCTTAGAACTAAAGTTATAAATAGAAGAAAAAAAATGAAATCACTTATTGCACGGGATAACACTCATATCAATACAATAAAATTGTTTCATAAAATAAAAGGTGGTATATGATAATATTCTCTGAGTTGTTCCGAAAGTTCCAATGTTTATCGTGGTGATTTTTTGCATTCTTTAAAAATGTTTGGACAGGAGATTATTGATTTCTGTATTTCAAACTTCCGTATTATAGATATAAACAACATGGCCTTGTTTGTAATAAAAAATAACTAATAATACTATTATTTTGATGATTAGCAATATTTTATATTACGTACGATTTAATGAGTTCAATAAATGTTAAAATGGAGCTTACTTTAGACTAGTACTTGTAAGTAGAGGCAGGCTTGCAAGTTTACTGTTAAACGCTGAGATAGATTATTTTAAAAGTCTAAATGCAATACTTCAATACTTACGTAACCCAAGTGGGCTAGGGACATGCCGCAGAAAGCGAGAAGAAGAACGCACTGTAAAATAGAAAAAGAAATTACGTGATTACGTTGGAAACAATTTTTTTCTAAAGCTTTTAAATACATATATATATNATATATTTATATTAGTAACAATATGCGTGAAAAGTAATATAGTTTATAGTCAGTTATATAGGTTTTGTTTACTAAATTGTTTATGTAAACATTTTACTGGGGCTTTGAGAGCTGTTTGGTACGGTTCACGCTCCTGAGAATGGGGGTTCAACAGTGACTGGTGTACGTTGAACCTGTCAAGTCACAAAGTTCTCCACTTTCCCTTAACAAATTGTACCACTGAGGGTACTGGATTGGAGATTGATCGTTCTCTGGTTTAGGTCAAAATTACGATCTATGAATGAATGAATTAATGTATTAATGTGTCCACCCTATATCGGGTGTGACGTATGAGTGTGGCAGAAGTCGAATTCTTGGTCATAAATGGCGCCACTGGAAAACAAGATCAACCGTACCCCCAGTGCTTTAATGGCCTACGACAAAATAACAAATATTTTACTGGTCTTTAAGCCCTTTACAACAGCTAAATGATGTTAGAGATATAAAAAAAAAAATTCTTTACGAGAAAAAAAAAACAGTGATGAAATTATATTAGCGATAATGAAAATATCTCTAAACATCATGAGAGCAATAAAAATCATCAAATTTCACTTGTATTGTTACATTTTTATCTGAGCATTATGAAAATGAAACAATTACTTCTTACTATACAATTTCATAGTTTAAATTGCTATATTTAGGGGAAAACACTATTCTAATGCCTTTCGTTTCCATTCAAAATCGTTAAAAAAAAGACAGTAAGATTGTTGAAATACGCATACTTCAGTCTTTTATAACGGTGTTACAAAATAACTTCATGGCGTCAAAAATATTTCAGAGTTTCGAAATTATTAGTATAGTAAATTACTCTAATGCAATAATAATACATTTAAATTCAGTTGAAAAATGGAATAAATCTTTTCGAAAAATATATATGGATTTTTTCATTTATTTCAATTCAGTTACCGACTTACAATGTGATTTTATTATCTGTGCTACTTAACAGAACTTAGTTAGGTAAAGCTTGGAGCAGTTTAAACCAAAGTAATATTTCCATAAATAATTTGTACATTACAAGAACAATGTTAAAATTAAAAAGTATATGTAACTAATGAATACAGATTTATTTTATAAAAAATTTAAGCGAAAAAACCTATTAATGATTTAAATGTATATTATGTAAAAGACTTGAAATCTGCAGCCGAATTTCAGTGAGTTGTCTAATATTAGTTTTTAGTAACTCTTTGGTATATTACAATGGATTAGTTCTCTAACACGGAATCTAAACAAAAATGTTCTGATCAGATCTAACAAGAATGTTCCTTAAGTTTCTGAAAATCGTAACTGAATATTGTTCTTTAAGATTTAAATTTTTTCTTTTGTAGTTTATCTGATTAAATTATTTGAAAATATTCAGATTAAATAAAGAATCATGCAATTCGCGAATCAAATTATTGTTCATTCGTCATAAGAAACAGTCTGAAAATCGTTCGATTTACCGTAAGAAGAAATAAAAAACAACCTATATTCAATTTGTTACTAATAGATTTGATCAATTTTATATTTAGCCTACTGAAAAAGATTTATGAAGCAGTTCTGTAAGCGGTCAATGCTTATTTGTAATTATTAAAATTAATTTTAAAACAAGAAAATCTTACCTGAGATAGCATGGTTAATTTCGTTTGTATTTTCTGTGATTGTGGATAAAATCATCTGTTTTTATAAGTAGTAATAACGCAAAAATGCTTCAAAGTATTTAGAATAAATTTTACGCATGATTAATATTTCATTCTAGATGTAACTTTCACTGTCCGGAATAACCTGAGGAATTTCCTAATTTTGGAGATCAACAAACATGGCTCAAGGTCAGAATCTGAATAATTTCACTACCGATTAAAATATGACGGTTTTATTTAAAGTTCACTTGATTTTGAATTAAATTAAGAACGAAAAATTGATGATTATCAAATCGGATTATCAAATTGTTGTAAAACCAGAATAGGCTTTATTAATTAATTCCTACACAACAAAATCCGTAGAATTTAAAACTTATTTAGTCTTTTCAATGAAAGTATTTTCTTAGAATAATATAATGACTTTATCAAATGAGTTAATACAATAAAATAGGGGAATGCGAGATGTTCATTTCCTATAAAATAATTAAAAAAGAAACCTTTAAAGTTTAATAGTTATTGATTATCCAAAGGAAGATGGATCAATTTCTATTCAAAATTTAATTAGGTATCAATCATTTTGACAATGAATTCTATTTTCTTTTGATATTCATGATATTCATACTGTTTTATGCTTAATTATTAATCAATTAATTATTTTCATATCTAGTATAGATTTTCCTACAGCGTAGCAGACTATATAACCTGGGGAACAATATTAAGGGAAACATCTCAAATGTTTTATTTACGATAACCTCTTTTTTACTCGTAGCTTTAATACGATGTTATCAAATGTCACTTTTGCATTTGTTTTCGCATTGCAGTTTCAACTTTTATATAATCATTTTCCTATATACAGTGAATGGTGCTAACTTTTTTTAAATTGAAAATAAACGTAACCAAGAGAATAAAAAATTTTAGCAAGAAATTATTTTGGAGTTATTTACTTTATTATATTTTTATTTTATGACTGTTAATATTGTGTAAAATAAACATGCTTAAGAGATTCTTATGAAATGTGAAACTTTTTTAAAGAATTTCGACTGATACAAAGTAATACAGATGGAAGCTTTTTTTCCGTTTTCGGAAAACCTTAGTTTTTGATATAGGTTAATCGGCAATCTAGAAATCATTTATTTTATTTTAACTTAGGGCAGTATGGTCTTTACGGAATTAACCTAATCTTAAAAAAAGTCTGGTCCGGTGTTCGAATCCCTGTCAGACGCAAGGGTGTTCTTTCTGTCTCTGTACTATCTGTCTTTTTTTACCTTGGGAACAACGTTGAACCACGTAGTATGGTGCCTCTGCCCGAATGAAAAATGCCAATATCTACGGGAAGACATTGGAAAAAATTCAACTTGGTTTTTGTGATAGGTATATACCGAGGAAAAATTTCTGCCAAAATTACTGTAGTGCAGAGTAATGATATTTCGAGTAAAAAAGGGAAAAAAAGCTGTCCAATAAAAGCAAAAAAATGGTATTTAATTAATTTATTTAATAATTTTTCGTTTTTGTAGAAACGGTTTACCCGAAATACTGGTTTTCAAAATTTTAGTTCTTATTTTCTTACATTTTGTACAGAATTCAAAACTGAAAAGTAAATTTATCTGAATCAATGGTTTTTTTATGGATTACTATAATGTATCATGATAAAATTACCACATTTATTAAAATTTAATCAAAATAAAACCAAATTTTACTGTTAATTTTACCAAGGTCATTATTAAAGTGCATCGGTAAAATTTACCAAATTTCTTGGTGATCCCAAAGAGTCAGAAAAATGGTGAGCTTTTTATCATCTTTTTTTTAAGCTGTTTTGATAGATATAGATAATTTATTATTCCAAAAGTTGGCCGGGATATTTTAGATGTGTCAATAATTTTAATTTTTTAAGTAAGCTTTTGCTGAGCAAAATTAAGTTACGAGTTTCATAAAAGTTATTTAATGAGTAAGCTTTTTGGCACTCGCTGTATAAACAAATATCACAAAACTTAAAATAGCTTGTTCTCAAAACACTATTATTCACCATTTCCATTTTTACCATTTCTCATTGAAAAAAAATATCTCGCATGTAATATATAAAGACTCCCTTTAGTATGTATTTTTAGAGCCATTCTCCAATATGGAGCCAAAAACTAAATTTATTGTTTTATTTAAGTTAGAAGAAGAACGCAAATCACATAAAAAGGATGTGGTTGTCTAGAACTTTAATACATGCTAGGTAGAAACGTGATCTCTATTAATCATCTTTCAATTTCTCTTATTTTCCTTCTGCAATCAAACAGGAATGGAATTAGAATTTCGTACCTACACCTTTCTCGACTCAAAATCTTTTAAATAAACGAGTTCAGTTATTTTAGTTTTAGTTCTCTTAACCACGGTATCATTTCAACCTTTAAATTGATTGATTGATTTTTGTAGTATGAATGTTTTGTTTAACTGTAACCTATAAAGGGTTACTTCCCCCTCGCGTGCTTTCATAACTTCACTTGATGAATATTTTTCACCTGAGGAGGTGACCTCTTTTCAATAGAAATTTTCCAGTCTTTTTTTCCAGCCTCCGTCTTCTACTGTATGTCCATATTTTTGAAAAACCTTCAATTAAATTTAAATTCGTAATGTAGAAATCAATAAATAGTTCTTTCATCCCTTTTCGAATTAGAAAAATGCTTTTGAAAATTTAGACTCAGAGTCTGGAAGTGCTTTTCCTCTTGGCTATCTCCTTTCTTCTCCATGGAATTATGTGTGGAGCTTATATTAATGGATCAAATACATAGATCGTTTGATTTCTCGTCCAATTTGGCGGCAAAAGTATGATATGTTTGCTCTGCAAGAATTTCCTCTCAATAGCTGTTTTTGAAAAATTAATCTTCGACCACCAACTGACCATCATTCGACCCTCATCCAAATCTCAAGAAAGTAAGAAAATTAAATACTGATGAATGCTTCTGTCTTGTCATTCCTTGTAAAAACCAAATAGCATGGGCTAAATCAACCAGCAGTCAATTCTTCTCAAACGGCGAGTTGTGGTAATATATAATCTTCCATTTATTAAGATTCTAAACTCTTTATTTTGACATGATTCAGTTTTAAAAGAACTATAAATATGCCTACAAAATGTACTTATAGTTTATTATGTCTGTTGTTTTTTAAATATCTTTTTTAAAAAAATTAAAATTATCTCTTTCCGAACGAAAAGAAGAATCGTCATGATGAGAGAGAGAGAGAGAGATAGCAAATCATCTGTCGTGTGTTTCCCCAGACCACCACTTTTAGAGATATATTCAAGCGTTTGTTGATTACGTTGATCAGGTGCTTATCTTTCGGCATAATTTGTCAAAAGAAAAACTTTACAAGGAAAAATAAATAAATAAAACAAGAATGAAAAGATATGAAGTGCAGAAAAAAAAGCCAACAATTGATGGTTGACCGAGTAAAGCTAAGCACAATTGGCGTTAGGGGTTAAAATTCAACGTAAGACTTCCCGGGTTAAGTACTTGACCATTTGCAGTCAAAGCGTTGGATAATTGACGATCTTCTGTCTATTCCCAACTCTCCACGTCGCAAAGCCGTTGTTAAATTCTGTCTTTTGACGGGTCATGACTGTTTAGGAGAACATCCCCATCGTATAAAGATTTTTATCCATCCAACTGCTGAGACGACACTGTATTGACAAGCAAGAGACCTTTTAATGAAACAATGACTTCGGTCAACTTTTTATGTTCTACTTCATTGTACTTTCTCACCTTGTTAGCTTTGTTGTTGTTCCTTTTGTATTGCTTCCGGGATTCTTTCGATAGATTTTCATGCATAAGCTTGAAAAAGCACGCCATACAATATTATTATACTTGTAGTGTTTATAATATAACACGCTCTTTAATTTAAAATTCACCGAAACAAGCAACACCAATCCATCAAGAAAATCCATCAACAACTAAAAAAGCTTTAGATGATAATTTTAAAACTCCGGAGTCAACTTTAAAAGAGATTTTTAAAAAAAAGGATGCAATTGTTGCTGCTCAACGGGAATGAGGAAATAAATCCTCGAAGAGAAGTCGTATTCAAAGTGGAAAGTTTCAAGAACTGGAAAGTGTTTTATTACAAATTTTTAAAGAAGATCATGTTTCTGACTATCCGGTTAATATAGAATTGCTTAGGCAAAAAGCAGTTCATCTCGTAGAAACTTTGAAAATCGAAAATTTTTCAGCTTCACATGAATGGGTGGAGAAATTCAAGATCCGACATGGCCTAGACACTAATAACATATCTAGTGAAAGTGTAAGCGTGGACAAAAATACTGTAGAGGAATGGAAAGAAGAATTAAAATATTTAATTAAATGAAACAAACCAAAGGACATTTTTAATTGTGATGAAACTGGTTTGTTTTTCAGGATGATGCCTCAGAAAACATTGGCATTTAAGGGGGAACTCTGCCACGGTGGAAGAAACAGTAGAGAACAATTAACCGTTTTATTATGTTGTAATGCAGATGAATCAGAAAAACACTCCACTTTTATTATTGGCAAGTAGAAGGAGCCTCGCGGTTTGAAAAAAAATAAAGCAACTTTTTCGTGAGTACTTAAGCAATAGAGCAGCACGGATGACTTCAATTTTTTTTTTACCCTTTCTCTATTCATTTAAGAGAAAAATGGAAAAAGAAAAGTCCTCCTTTTTATGGATCAATGTTTCCAACTTTTGAACATATCAACTTGCCAACTTTTGAACATATCATAGTAGTGTGTTTTCCTTCCCACTGCACGAGTAAGTTACAGCCTTTGGTTTTATACATTATCCGTTCCTTAAAAGTGCATTATAAAAAAACAATGATTCGTCGATATGGAAACAGGCAAATTAGCAGCAGCCGACGTGAAGATTTGAATTCATGATGCGTATGCGTGGCATGGAGAAGCATTGAACAATCCAGCATAAGGAATTAATTCAAAAAAGCTGGATTTCTATTTTCAGAAGAAAATGAATTTATGGATAAAATTAACAAAATTGAGGAAGGTTGGGATATCGATCTTAGTGATAACGAATGTAAAGTTGTATCTAATGGACTTGCTTCTTTTAATGAATTTATTGTCTTTGATGATGATCTATTAACAATGGAATTAAGAGACATTGAACTCATCGCTAATGAAATGGACGATGAGAACGTGGAGGATGATACAGTTCCTCCAAATCACACAGCAGTATTAGAAGCTTTAGATACTATTCGTGATTATTTACAATTTAATTCTGCTTCTGAAACACCCTTATCCCATTTATATGAACTGAAAGAACGGCTTTTGAAATAAGTCGGCAAAAGCAAATATAAACATGTATTAAGGATTATTTTGCAGGAAAATAAACTGTCATTAGGTATGTTAAATTTTGTCTTTGTAAAATATAGTAAGTACCAAAACAGTATAAATATTAACATTTAATCTTTTGAAACATATTTATTTATATCGTCTCTGCAATTTACATTGCATTTTAGAGTTTTGAAGTTTTTCACTTATGCGTTTTTTTTCTGTTGGCCCCTTACACCGGTGCATAAGGGAGAGTTCACCGGATGTGTTTAGATATAGACTTTAGTAATTCGTAGGTCTGGTTCTCCTTTGTTTTTTTCTTTGTGTGTCCAGTTAATCAAAAGGTGGGTTATTCCATGTAAATACGTGTTTAGATATAGACTTTGGTAATATGTATGTTTGGCCCTCATTTTTTATTCTTTTTGTGTTTAGTTAATCAAAAGATTGATTACGCCATGTAAATATGAGTTTATATATAGACTTTGGTAATATGTATGGTTATCTCTTAATTGTTTTCTCTGTCCAGTTAATCAAAAGGTGGATTACTCCATGTAAATACGTGTTTAGATATGGGTCATTCTCATGAAAACTGTCATTTTTCAGTTCATAAAATCCCAAAAAAGTAAAGTGAATAAAAAGCTCTGAAACTTTTTATATTAATAGAAATATGTAATGGCATTATAAAGAAAGTATATATCCTATAAATTATACTTAATATTTAAATTAATTAATTTTTTAAATAATTAATTTATAATTAATTAATTTATAATAATTAATAATTAATTAATTAATTTAATAAATAAATTAATTAATTTAATAAATTAATTTATTAATTTTTTAATTTATTTTTCAAATTAATTAATAAGTAAATTAATTATTTTCACTATTTAAAAAGTGAGGGAATGACACTAATAGTGAGGGAATGATATTTTATTTTAATACATGTTTTTATCTAAGTTACATCTACCTAAAGTTTGAAAATGATAACATACTAAGTATATCTAATATTTATTATAATTTAGTCTTATATATTTAATAGTTTTTACAGGTTTGGGAAATAAAATTGGCTGGCACGATTGAACAAAAAAAAATTTAATAATATACTCATCTTGAATCATTCCCTCACTTCAGCGTCATTCCCTCACTTTATACACTAGTGAGGGAATGACGAATTCAATAAAATTTAAAAATAACAGTTAGGCCTAATTAATTTCTGAAGTCAATCACATACAATTATATTCATACAAGAAAGCAACATATAATTATCCACTTTCTCGATGAAGTTGTATTTTATTTTACTCTAAAAAATGACATGAGGGAATGACAAATGTAAAAAATTTTACCTGGTTTGATTCATTCAAATTTATTCCACAGCAAAGCTTCTTTAAGTTGAAGATGGAAACATACTGCAATTTTGTTCTATGATGCCAGTTGTTAACTTCTGAAGTTTTTATTAAAATATTTTTATTCTAAGAAGATTGCAGGTGATAAGAACATTGTTGTGAGGGAATGACGCGAAACACTGGGGACAAAGTTTAAAATAGTGCTGTGTTAATATTTTTATCAGAAATTAAATTTAAAATTGATTTTCTGAATTCTATATTTCAGTATTCTGAAATAAAAAACACGAATTTGTAAAAAAAAAAAAAATTATTTCAGAAACAATTTTTTTTCTTTTTTTAAATCAGCAGTGGGGACAAGAGAGGGAATGACATATCATATGACATATCATATGAGGGAATGACATATTTTAATTACCTAAAATAAATAAAAAATAAAAATTGATAATTTTATTTTTATTCTTTTGTTAGCTTGCATTCTGAAGGACAGTTTCCCTGAATTTTTTTTTTTTCGTAAACTGTAAAACAAACATAAAATATACTGGGGACATAAAAATGACTGTTTTTGTGAGAATGACCCATATAGACTTTGGTAATATGTATGTTTGGCCCCCATTTTTTATTCTTTTTGTGTCTAGTTAATCAAAAGGTTGATTACGCCATGTAAATATGAGTTTATATATAGACTTTGGTAATATGTATGGTTATCTCTTAATTGTTTTCTCTGTCCCGTGAATCAAAAGGTGGATTACTCCATGTAAATATGTATTTAGATATAGACTTTGATAGTATGTATATGCCTGGTTCTCTTTGTTTTCTTTGCGTCCAGTTGTGACAAGAAATCAAGAAGGCTGTATTTAGTTGGGACACATTGTATTGACTAATATATTTTTTTTCACCATTTTATCAAATTTACAAATTCAAACACTTTCAAATAAATCATATTTTTTTCAATAAAAATTTTATGTTATTTTTTTCAGCCAACGTGAGTAATTAATATACCTAATACAAAGTAATTTAAAAGTCTAAAACAATATTAATAATTATTTAAACGAATTAATCTAACTAAACAATCTTTTTGGTTGAAAATGTTCAACAATTTTTATTGTAACTATTAAGTAAGAATTTAAATTAATTAAGTAAGAAATAAAGAAAGAAAGAAATTGCAAATTTGTGGACGAGGTTACAATGGCAATTGAGTAATATTATTATGATTAAATTTTACTTCATTAGAATTAGAAACTAAATACATGGAACAGATTTTAGCTAATAAAGTAAAATGTTTTTGATCTTTTGATTGAATGATTTTTAAATTGCACGAAATATCGTCAAGGAACAAAAAATATCGAGAAATAATTGTCTGTGAGGAGGGAGGGGGTTAAAATGGAGATAAAGTCCCCTAGTATTTTCAAAAAACAAGCTAATAATGTCATTGAAACCACGAAATGTAGTCCAACTTTAACAAGAAGTAGGGCTGATTAAAAAATTTATCAAGTAAAGTTTTTCAATTGTCTGGTTGTTCTTTTATTCAAATTTACAAACATTTATAGACACATTGCACATAACGTACATAAAATGGGAAATATTTAAAGCATTGTGAATTAAAATACATGAAAGGCAATTGAGCTGGTACATATTTAAAGATATACAAAACTGAATTTGAAGCAAATGCAACTTATAGCTAAGAATAACAAAGTAATTTAACACAACATGATAACGGATTTACTATCTTGCAGAGAGAGATAACAGGAGAAAACGTTATAAATTGTAATAAGCATCTTTGCAAAGAAAAATTGAAATGACATGAGAAAAAAAATGGGAAATGGCTACAATATTCCACAAATACATGCAAAAGAATGAAATATTAAAAAATACTAGAAAGTCTAAAAATATGGTTGAAAATAGGACAATTCTTGGCATGCATAGAAGAGCGGAAAGACTAAAGAAGCTTAAGACAAGTAAAAGATATAAGTACTGCTTGCAGAAAAAAATAAACATTTTATTGAAGAACATATTTAAAAGTAAGAAAACCAGATATCACCAAAAATATACATCGCAAAAATGAAGGTAGGAAATAAAATTGTGCATGGAATAGTATTAAATATCGAAGATATAAAAAAAAAAAAAATGAAAAATAAGAAAAAAATAAAAGCATTCAAATAATTCAAAGAGAAAAAAAAGAACAGTCAAAGAGTAAATACATGCAAAATAACATAATAAACGAACGTAACGAAAATAAATAGAAAAACAAGGGTAATCTTAAGTAATTTAATTCCATGGAATTAGAAATGAATGCAATATAGAAACAGATTTTGAAAAGAAAATACAACACCCAAATAAGTAAAACATGCAAAGGGTTAAAGCATATAAATAAAGTAATGTAACGCAATATTTAAAAAAAGAGACGAAAATGAAGAAGGCAGGAAGCTCTGTTCTAGAATTAGAGAAAAATCACAAACATAATGCAAGTCAATGATAATGTAAGATAATGCAAGACAGTAAAAACTAAATTTTCAGAAGAGGCACAATTTGTTATTGTAGTGGAACAAAATATTTACAAACAAATTATTAAAATTATTTCAATAAAACTCTAATTTAGTTAATATCCATATCTAGCATATCCCAAACCACCTAAAATTCCTAAACCGAGTCCTCCATAAGCTCCACCATAACCAAGATCTCCATAAGCTCCACCATAACCAAGACCTCCATAAGCTCCACCATAACCAAGGCCTCCATAAGCTCCTCCATATCCACCACCATATCCTAAACCTCCATATCCAGCAGCTGCTGCAGGCGCACCCAAGTATCCCTCACCACCGGTGTAAGGAGCATCGGAGACTAAGAGTATTGCGGCTGGGTTTTGGTTTGCGGTTCCGGGTTCGTTAGTCTTGACTTGGGCTCTGAATCCGGCTTTGTCAGCAACGTAGTTCACTTGTCTTTTAACACCTCGAGCGTCGGTGAATCCGTAGCTACCAGTCACGTGCCCTCCTGTTCCGGATTCTTCCCTGTGTTGTTCACCATGCTTGTCTTTAATGCTGTATCCAAATTTGTAAGGCTTGGGAGCGTGGTGCTCTTCCACTGGGAAATGACCATGAGCATACTGAAATAAACAAAAACATGTTTTATATGGAATATTTCAATTATTTAATCTTAAAATAAAGATTAAAATTTTTGAAATAAAATTGTCTTTTTAATAGCATTATTCGAGTAATAGTACCAATGAAACACATTTTATAGTATTTGATGCCTTTAAGTAGCTAATATTTTCATTTGGAGTTTTTAGTTTATAAAATCTTAAACTATATTACAGTATACAACTTATTAATTATGATACAGATTCAATAGTCTCATATTTAAAATTAAACAATACACAAATAAATTTAATTCTTCGGAGGTTTAATTTATTTTCAATTTAGTGAAATAACCGGTTAAGTTACTGAAATGTGTGAAAATGTACTGATCAGTTGATTAATCGATCTTCAATTAAGGAGTGAACACAGAATTGTTACTCAATTTATTTTTCTCAAAAGTCATTTTTTTTTCAAAGGTCACTATTTTTATCTTCAAATAAACCCCAAATCTACCTTGACACCTTTTTTTCCCAGCGTCTCCTGTATGCGGTGGATACATCTTTTGTTTTATGGGCTTATTTTGATTGCAAACATTACTCCACTGTGTTAAATGCTATGCTTGTATTTGGATATAGAAAGTCATTATTATCTATAATCTGTAATTTTACTTATTTTTTGTGTTTACCTTATATTCTAACTTTAGTGTTACCAATCTGCCCTATTTGTTCAAACCTCACATTGTGTGACCATTGAAACTTTGTGCTATTGCTATCACACATGGTTTCGTACGACCTCTTTTAGTAAACGATCACGTTCTCCTTTAAATTAATTACTTTTGATCCTATTTTCAGCATATTTTTTCTAACTTTGAAATCAATGATGGTTGTTCTCCATTCAATGACTGAATATTTTAATATCGAAATACAAATACAATTTCATTAAATTTCAATATATAATATGATTATTATATGTCATCATTCACTATAAGTTCCAAAACCATCATTAATCAATCATACAACCATTATCAATCAATCAATCATATAATCAATCTATCAATTATTATGTTATAAATAAAAATATTAAAATCGAAACAATGCAACAGCAACATATGCAACAATAAGACAGATTCAATGTTTTTATATTTGCAACGATCATTAGATTATTCATATTCTTCTATTTTTTATTTATAGTACTTACCGTCATGGAGATGATGCTGGCGACAAGAACGAAAATGCACTGAAAAAACAAATAATTTCATCAAATTATTCAACAGATTAAATATGTAGTCTGCAAATAAACTAAATGGATTTATTTTATTATAAAACTTGCTAGAGAAAATAGCGGAAAAAATACCATTTTGATCAATAAAATTTGAAATATCGTGAAATATAAATTTTTGTAACACCTAAACAAATTTAAATTTTCTTTTTTTTAATTCTGGTCATATTTATTATATATTACTATTTTATTATTATTTTTCATTTTTAGGAGCTATTTTTACTATTATATATATATTTATATTATATTTATTATTATACATATATTTATATATTACATTTAATATTATATAATATTTCTTTATATACTATTATATTATATTATTATTATTTAATTATAGTAGAATTTATTATGTGAGCATTTAATGGTAGTATTAGGTATTTTATTGATGATATTATTCATAATGCAATTATTTATGTGATTATTCAATGCTTAGATCTGATAGTTTACATAGTTCAGGTATTTAGAAAAAAGTGAGTAGGTAGGCAATTTAGTTATTTCAGATATTATAATCATTAGATTACTCAAGTGCACAATTAATTAATTATTAAGTAATTTTATTGTAGTTCAGGTTCGTAAAGTGTTACGGAGCACTGAAACTCAACTTAAATTTATGAAGATTAAAATAATATTAGCATAAATGATTATTCAAAATAAACTACGAAATTTTTTCATTAATTTCGGAATAATGGATGTTTAATGCCTAAGGGTTTTGATTAAAGTAAAAATGAACATCATAACTTTGTTGTGTTGTTTTACAAACAAAAGTTGAAATATGCCCGAATATAGTTTATTTTATCGGTAATAAAGATTACTGATGAGACATATTTATAAATTTTTGGTAAATAATTTCACTTCTTTCAATATTATTAACATTTGACGATAACTAATATTGTTATTTAATGTTATTATTTAACATTAGTTGTTTTAAAATATATATACTTTATATATGTAGATAGTAATATTCCTTGCGTATAGAATGCGAGTATTAGTATATCAAACAATTTATATCAATTTCGTTCAGTTTAACATAGTTTTAAGGGGAAAAAACACATTTCTGTTAATTATTATATTAAACAATTTAAAGTTGAGCACATGTGATTTTTCTAGCGTTGAATTCTGATTTCAGAGAACTTGATATTACTCAGAGTCACTTTTTTAACATTTACAACATAAAAGAAGAACATGAATGAAAAGGCTTAGAAATATTGATAATATTAGCGTTAAGTATAATTCGTAAACTATATAGAATGGACAAATGATTTTTCGAATTATTTATATGAAATTAGCAGAGGATTTGTCAAAAGATTAATTTGTCAATCTTTCTAAATGAATGAAATCTCTATAAATTTATATTCATAAAGAAAAATTTATATTTTTATAAAGAAATATAATACTGAGTTGACTGCATAGATTAATAAATTTATCTATGTTTAAATAATTTTTTTAATAATTATATTAATAAATTTTTCAATACTAACTTTTTCGATTTATAAACAAACATAAAAATTTATCTTGTCGATATTCTCATTTTGTTGTCTTATTATCTATTCCTTATCGGTCTTACCTTTTCTTTAGCTTGTAACAACATATGTTTGTTGTTAAAACTTAATTTTTTTTTTTAGCCATTACTTTTGGATCAATACAACTAAAATTATGCTACTCATATCTTTATAAAAACAATAACATTTTAAAATAATTTCGAAATGAAAAATGTTCTAATTTCAAGGAAATAAGAAAATAATTACAGTTAATGCGAAAAATACAACAATTTCGCAAAAAAAAAACAAACCGTTATTTAACTCCTTAATGGTTGCATAATTTTGAAGAAAATAGTTGCATGAGGGCCAATTTTTTATTCAAGAAAATTATGTAAAATTGGTTGTATGTACAATTCATGATAAATATAAATTTTTAACTTTTAGGTAATTCTTTACCTTGAAATTAAAAAAATAATTAATTGTAGTTTAAAATAAACTATATCTAAACACATTACAAATAGACTGTAACAGCCATCTAATTGAGAAATAATCATGATTCCGGGTGTATTGAATAGATTGTCTTAATTTTTTCGCACGTTACTTTCATACACTCCAATCTGGAAATATCGCGAGAACGAGATACCCTGACATTTTGATTCAAGAAAAAAGAAAGAGCTTTTTTTTTTAAATTTTAAGGATATGAATGATTAGAACATTCTGAACTGCCAAAACAATTTAATGGTTATAACAATTTAATGGAATAATCATTTTAACTTTTAGTGGTAAATGAATAATTCTCTTACCTTGGAGATCATGTTTTACGAAGCTGAATGGTTACTGATTATACTGCATTAAAAACATTTTCTTTTATAGCAACCACAAAAGAAATGCATTTCAAATATTTAGAGTAATTTTTACAGATGATTGATTCTAAGCTTCCGAAGGGAATTTAGTCAGACAAAAATGCTTGAATCTATCATTATTTCTATCATTTGATAGAGAAAGTGTCAAGGTTAGGAGAGATAGTTAATAACAAACATAAAAACGCAGATAAAAATTCTGATAACCTGAAAGACTGAAATAAGTAAAATGGTATGGAATTGATCTTTGTTGAGTAGCTTTGAATTAGCGTAATTCATCGATGCATCATTGCAAAAATTAATGGAATCAAAACTATTTACTTGTTATAGTTTTTCTCAGATAAGAATAAACAGCAGTTTTTCTGTAGAATTGAAGTAGTTTTGAAGTTATTCTACAGTCAAATGTATATTTTCTGAAGTAGAATACTAACTGTAAAAATACTTATTTATTAGCTAATGCGCAGTATGTTCTCGATAATTTGTTTCCAAAGACTTTTTACCTTTTGTCTAGAAAATTACTGTAGTTTATATAAGTCATAAATTTAAAAAATAATGAAAAGCTAAACCCATGGTTATACTGCAGTAAATTCGAAGTGATTATACAGATATTGTTTTAGAAATATGCTTTCTGATGCATCTGCAGAAAAATAGTTATTTTTTATTGTTGTAAATTTGAGAGTGAGAGAGTTTCCCAGCTGATTTTGATGTCTTCGATCTTGCTTTCCTCGTTAAAAAATCTATGTTAATACAACTTTTTATAACGTTTTTGTTAGTTTTTAATGATAATATACTAATTTATGATTATTAGTTTCTTACATTTCGGTAAAGATTCTAAATATATATAGTAAGGGCGAAGATAACGTGCATTAAGCTTTATCTTAATATTTATTATTAAACAATAAACCTTTTTTTATTCATTAAAAATAAATAATTTTAAATAAAACAATGTCAGATCTTCTTTTACCCCTCATTGCAGACTACATTTTTAATACATAGAAAAATTTGCAATCCAATAATAATGTTCGCATTTGCCCTGCTCTTCCCCATATTTCAATTTGGGAGCGTTTTTGGATGGCGAGAGCAGCCCTAAGCTTATAGATTTATTAATGTCAGGATTTTTCTGGTCTGATTTTGTGTTATTGTGATTTCAGGTGTCTTGTAACTTGCCTTTGTAAATAAAAATAATAATAATAATTTTGTTAGAAAAAAATATAGCTCATAATATTTTCAATTTAACATAAATGACCATAAGATTTATTGAACGTTTAAAAAAAAAATGACGAAAGCTAAGGCAACAGACGCAACTCTACATTGTCTACATTTCTCATAAAAATGGTTAAATGATAATTTATTTAATTGTTATCTTCTCGTATTCAACCAAAACAATCAAATAACCATAAAAGGACGGTATTTAAACTGTTGACTGTGAGAAAAATAGCATATTAACTTTTTACCAAGTATGATTAAACAAGCAAGAATTTTATTCGCGGAAGCTAGGCCCACATTATGAAATCATTTATTTCCTTGCAGAGAGAATGTATCAGAGTAAGTAGCTGGACGGATTAATCAGTCTATCTCACGATCGATTGAATGAGTGTTAGAATCCCAGCAAAACTTCATACGTTTATTCCTTCAACGTATGGAGAGCTTCTTGTGATGTCCATGATTATTAAAATATTGATACCAAAAAAGCAAAATTTTTTATAACAAAAAGCTTAGTAGTTCCCATCGATGACGATTGATGGCACCACTAAATAATATAATAGCTCTGCGTATTTACTGTAAAATGTTTTAGGTCACTGCTTTGTTTTTCCTTCAGTTTAATCTCATCATAACTAATCCACATTAGTTTTTAGTATGTTCGCAGGAATTTTATTTCGAATTAGCCCATGGAATAAATGAAATAATGCAAGAATTATTTTTTCTCTACAATTTTTACCTGCCCCTTACCTGGTTCTTCCACTACGTTTCTCTATTAATGTATCTAAAATAATGTAAAATTTTTATTTAATAAAATTTGTTGCCTTTTTCAGTAGCTTTGCGTTACAGAAGTAAGCGAAAATCGTTTTTTTGGTAGCTCTTCCCATTACAATAAATATAAAATTTATTTAGTAGCTCTCAGATTGATACTATTGATGCCAACTCATTATAATCAATGAAAGATCAATTAAAGATTAACTAATTAAAGATCACCAAGATCCCTGTCTTCACGCTGAAATAAAAACGCGTGATAGTAACAAACACCAACATATGTTATCGAAAATTACAGAAATACTATATTTAACTCTCACATGCAACTTTAAATATAAAAATGCTTATTCTTATTTGTCCAAGCAGCATTTCAATTTCGAGACTTTTAAATTTACTAAACCATTATTTCATTTTCTGGCTAAATATTACTAATAATAATAATTTTGACATCATTTTTATGCACTAATGTTTCATTTTCTAACTGCAAATTACTATCCCTTAAATAAAAATATCATAAAATTTGTAAAAATACTCTAAATTTTTAGTAGCAAAAGTTTAGGCAGCAAAAGAGGTCGATACAATAAACTTAAAATTTTATGTTAGTGTACTCACATTTAAGATCTAAATCAGTCAAGCCTAAAACCCTGAGTCTAAGAAAAGAAAAATTTTAAACAACAGAAAATATTTCATTTAGGCTTAAAAATATAAATAAAACTGATTGGCAATCAAAATTCCTTTTTAATTATCAATAAAACGAGTTTTATGAATCTAATGAATGATGTTATCTTTTTAACGGAAATACTCATTGACAAGGTTAGGCCGTCTTTTAATTCTTGAACAGTCATTAAACTAAATTATTTTTTTTAAAATTAATTTTAGCTACAAAATATATTATTTATCGTTTTAGATGTGTGTATTCTTTTAATTTAACAGTTTAAAGTTCTTTTTTTTTAAAATATAAATTGGCTGTACTGAACATTTTCGTAAAGAAAAAAAAAGATACCAGGCGAACGTGAAGAGAAGACGAACTCACACGATCGAGTACGCACACGGACAAGAACATTAAATTTATTCTCACTTGAGAAATACAATTTTGTACTCAAATATTATTTTGATTTTGGAGTAAAAGATTTTAAGTATCGAATACTTGAAATTCAACATATTTATAAAAGCGCATCAGCTGGCGTGGCTGGCAGTTAGTTTACAAGTAAAGATATCTTTTTTTTATAAATTTTTTTTTGTATTTTATGACATTAAGTGATTGGTCATAATGTGATAATGCCGATAAGAATACACTTTTATCAATTCGCTCTCTTCCCAGTTTCATTGATCGACTGAACAAATCAACAAACTAATGGTAAACCAGTGAAATGTGTTGCCTTGAAGCAATTTATTTACGTTGAATTGCTTCCAAATGTGAAATTAACATTAACAGGTGGCTAAAAAATGGAATACTGTTGGTTATGTTGCGTTTTACTTTTGTGTGTTAACTTTAATTTCTCTGTTTCCGTCCAAGGTGAGAATATTTTTGATTTTTCCGATGAACCGAACAAAAAAGTAAAGCACACAATCACGAACTACTCCGAAAACATTCAACATGACTACGATTGGTGTAAGTACTATAAGAATTGCTCTATTCTTAAAAATTCTAATATTGCTTTTTGTTCAATTTTAGTAATTCCTGAATAGTTTCTTCAAATTAATCATTTTCATTTAGGAGAGAATCCTTAATATTTTAATTTATAATACTTTTTTGTAAACCAACCAACTCTCTCTCTCCTTATATATATATATATATANCAGAACGTTTATTTCATACTTTGCCTAAATAGCATCCGGCATTATATAGAATGCCTAAGCATTATATACAATTCCTAGGGAAAGTATTAATAATTCTCACATTTCATACTTTGCCTAGAAACATCTAGCATTCTATACAATGCCGGCGTTTCATACTATGCCGGTAGCATATATATATATATATATATATAGTCAGACCCCGCTATAGTGAATACGGTTTGTAGTGAACCCCACTCCCGGATATAGTGAACGAAATGTTCGGTCCCGTGCCTTACTTTACTCGTATGATGTTATTTTTTGTGGATATAGTGAACTTAAAAAGTGAGGTTGTTGGATGTTATGAACTTTTTTCTGCCTTCGACTGCTTTTTTTTCTTCATTTTTTTAAAATAATTTTGAAATGTCTACTTCAAAATAAATACTTATACTAATTTTTAAAACCATCTGTAGAGTGGAATGTAGCCTTAAGCATTTATTCTTTCTTACTTTTTTAATCTCACTTCTCCATCCCTAAACAAAGGCTAACACAGACAGATGTATAGACAAATTTTTCTCTGCATCAGCTAAAGATTATAAATTTTTTTTGCATATAAGATGAACAGTAATAAAAAGAAATAAAAAAACAAGTTAACACATTTTTTGCTACTAATTATTTTTCAGTCATTTCTGTACTTAATTTTATTAGTCATTTATTTAAATAATATATAATAAAAAGAAGGAGTTCAGAACCCTTAGTTAAAATTGTTTGCGAAATGGATAGTGAACTCCCAGTTATAATGAACCAAAATTTCGGTCCCTTGAAAGTTCACTATAGCGGGGTTTGACTGTGACAAGTTTTTTTTTAATTATATATTTTTTTATTTTTTTAGAAAAATGTTCATATTTCTATAAATAATGAAGCCAAGTTTATGAAACTTCAAGCAATTATTTCAAATACCAACCAAAGTAATCAATGCAAGTTATATGTTTACTATTTTATTTTCTGGCATAAGGTGTTCAATAATCTTTTTGTAATTTGATGCTCTCTCAAATTTCTGAACGTCTTAAGCCTTATTGCTGAGATTTAAAAAAAACGCATGAACTAAACAACTCTATAATTACAAATGGCTGGTCCAATATTTATTTGCATCAATTACATATTTATTTGCATTATTATATATTACATATTTATTTGCATCGATTATTCACATGTATCAATTACCTATGTGTATATATACTCTTTGAATTTGCAATAGCGTGTGATTGTGGCTATGACTCCTATGGGTGTAGTCGGAAAAATGGGGAAAAAACGTGTTTCTGCAAACCAGGTTTCGCTCAAGACAAGAACAAATGTGAAAGTAAGGAATTTTGCTTGTTTAAAAATGTAGATAGATCATAAAATCCTTGTTATCCTTCAAAGAAAGACATAAGTGTATGTATTTGTCTTAAGAGTAACTTCCTGTGATAAAAGAAGTTGAATGCAAGAGGGAAGTAACTATTTTCAAAAAGAAGCTAGTTAGAATCATGGCACACAAAATGAAGTGTATAGGGACTCTAAAAATCTCAATGAATAAAGATTTTAGCATTTTATAATACAATCGGAAGAATGTGCCTAAGTTAAATAATAAGGGGGAATTTATTACACAAAACTATTAAGTATGACTTCTAATACACTCTCATCAATGGGTCGTTAATTTGTGCACTGCTCTTGGTCAATACTGAACTAAAGGTTTTGAAGAAAAATATTTACAATAGTCATGGATTAGAATCTCTTCGTTAGGGAGCTAACCTGCTGGAGATTTTTCTCGATTTTCCTCACTATGAAGCATGAGTGGGAATTAGTTAAATTGAAGGAACTTATCTACTAAAGGGCATTTGACTCAAAACAAAATCCAGGAGTTTCTTCATCGGCTCTCACCAACCACAGTGCCGAATTAAACTACTCTCAAGTGGTAGAAGGACCACGGGTTTTAATCCCCTTGCTGTCGTGAGATTTTAGTAGTTTTCTTATTCATTTAACGCAAATGCTGGTTAGTTCGACTAAAAAGTTCTCCACGAAAGCTAGTTTGTCCCCAAACTTAATTCCATATTACCTTGTCTTCTGGGTTGGGTTCAAAGTTACAAAACTAAGGAGTTGAACTTTGATAGTCATGAACTTAGAATTGAGTCAGTATAAAATTAAATATAAAATTGCCCACAGTGACTGTATTTACCACATGAGACCCAGCGTCCAGAATATTGCACAACATTCGGCACAATTTTATATCTTTAAAAGTAATATTTTAACGTTTCTTTACCTGTTTGCATGTCTTCACAAACTAATTGTATAAAAATATAATTGGATTCAGCGTCCTAGGTCAGAATTTATGAATACAATAGAAAATTTTACTAAAGGCTTGAAATTCCATCCAAGTATCCTTTTGGAAAATTTTATGGCACGCAAATGCCTTATTATTTAAATCTAATGGACTTCGTTTTATGAAAAAAATGTAAAGATATACACTCTGATAATAGTCTACAATATGAAAAACATACATAACACTTATCACTTTTTATTTAACATTTAAAAATAATGTTAAAATAGCTATAAAATTAAATAACTCAATTTTCCTATAAAATTTTTTAAAATCATATTTGCGAATTTAATTTCTTCTACAGCCAGAATAGCCTGGTTGGTAGTTAGACTTGTGTTCTCATGAACGGGAGTTCGATTTCAGCTTTCGAAATATCTCCGTGCATTAAATGGTGACTTAATGGTGCACATTAAATCTGTCGGGGTCATTCCAAAATCCAATAACAAATCAATATCTTTGTAATTACTGAATTAGAGATTAATCGTTCTCTAATTCAGGTCAAAAAATACTATCTGAGAATGGTTTTAAAGTGTGCTAATGAATCCTCCCCATGAAACGGGTTGTTACGTATAAATGTGTGGCAAAGTGGTATTCTTGGTGGCCACAGGTGGCGCCACTTAAAAACAAGAAGTGCACCTTCTGCCTTAATCCGCTTGATTTCAAGGAGGCTTGTTGATATTTTGAACCGGCATATGTAACAACAACAGTTTTTTTTCCAATCTACTTATTAATAATAAAAAATAATTTTTGCTATCATTTAAAGTTTAAATCTCAAGAAGATTATAGAGACCTAAGAATTTTCTTAATTTGAACAACAGAGCTATTAAGATTTAAGCAGGGTGAAATAAACAAATAACATCCGAGACGTGTTTTATACAGAATGTGAGGATTATTTTCCCGTATATTTCATTTCAGAATGCAACTGTGGATTCAACTCTATAGGATGCAGTTTTATAAATGGTGAAAAAATCTGTGATTGCATAATAGGTTACGGTAACAACGATGGCATATGTCAAAGTAGGTAAACCTTTTAATTATAGATATATCATAGATCATAGAAGTGTCATTATGTGAAACACATTGACGTGATAGCTTCACACCTATGTAAAATTTAAAAAAAAAAAAAATTAATCTTACTCATGTACTGTGACGTCTGCTAAGACATAGCAATTTAAACGGCTCATAAATGACGAACATGCACATTTATGAGCAATATATAAAAATCAAAGTCAATTCTTATTGCACATTGTTCGAAGAAAAAACTTGTCTTTTGGCATAAGTTTAAAACCAATTATTGGAATTTTTCGTACTCAGTTTCTATCTTCATGTTTCAAGTGCAGACGTATATGTGATTTCTGAATGTTAAATTGGTGGAAATTATAGAATTAATGTGATAAATTATCGCAAAATACTTATTTAGCTATTATTCATGGTTCCAGATTATTGTTATCAATAACCGAATGAAAAAACAAGCAACAAAATAAAAAAAAAGTTGTCGCACTCCTTGTGTATGCGAAGAAAGTATTAGTTTTTAAAAACAACAACATGGGGAATGCTGGTTAAGGCCCTAGCTTTTCAAAATGTAAAGAAGAGGAAATTGTGGGTTTATTACCTATCAAAAAATTAACAAAAATCGAAGTATGAAGCTAAAAAAATGACATAATGAACCCTTGAATAACATATTTAATTTTTGATACATATCCCATCTAATTTTAAGTTCATACACGTCCTATCTAGATTTATGCGATACTTGTGCTAGAGAAGAAAAAAAATTTAAAATTTGCAATGTAGACAAAAGAAATTAAACAAAAATAAAGCCTCCTCCGAGACCTCTTTAATATTGTCTCATACAGAGACATCCATAACATCTGGAATAGAGACGTCCAGACCCAGATCTCTTCTAGAAATTTTCTCCTGGAGATTTTTTTTTGTATAGAATTCTTAAAAAGTGCAGAGCGTACTTAGTACAATATTATGTAATCTAACAATTACCAGGTTTCTTATAAGACATGTAGTTTAAACCTCCTGATCCGGTAAAATAATCTGCTGTAACAATTTAACACTAGAATCGATCAACAATGACTGCACCGCTATCTGTAGGTAGGTTCAGTACCGCTATGATGTTATAACTAAGTTTGATAATTTCTAAACAAAATAGTTCAAGAAGTGGATAGGGTTGGTGATGTATAATGGAGTTGGGGAGTTTTTCATGGGTCATATATTTCAGGTTTTTTTAAAACATGAATTCTGAGACGTGAGTAGATATGCTAGGTAATGCTGCTCTACCAATCTTTACGACCATGTTACGAATTGCCTCTCTTTCAAAAAAAAACTACTTCATTTACACATCGAGACTTGAGCAGTCATAGATTGACGAAAGCAGTGGCTAAACTCGACTGATCTAAATAAATCCGATACAGCAACTCTGGGATGAATTAGAAAGCAGATTATGTAGCCAGGTAATCAAAATTTTTCGCTTTTTGCCATTACTTTAGCTGTGATAAACACCTAGAAGTCGATTCCTATAGTCATCACCTACAAAGAAAAGAAGAAAAACTGGTTGTCATTGTAAAACGTGTACAACATCATGTAAATATCCCCCTCGGGAATCTTCGAGTTCATACTATTGTGTGCCTAGATACTTTCTTCTAAATAGCATATATTCCTCCCAGCAATTTGGATTTAGCTTTAATAACCAAATAAGAAACAATATCTCCTACTTCGAAATAGCAATGCATAAATCTCTCACCAGTTTAACCTTTAAACCTCGAATCTCCAAGTCACGTAACATTTAACCAACCTCTATCACGAGAGTATTTAACAGTTTTCAGCAAATAGAACTTTTAATGCTTGTCCTGGTTTTGATAATTATTTGAGCTATTTTAACTGTAATAAATGGACTACATGCTTGTAGTTTGAATAATTGAGTTGTTATTGAAAAATTATTGTTTCAGTTTGTGATTGTGGAGATGAAACTATAGATTGTACTTTTGAGAGATTTGAAAAAACTTGTCGCTGCTATCAGGGGACTGCTCAAATACACGGCAAATGTAAAGGTAAGAAAGAACTCCTTATTCTTCCTCCTTTTTCCACGTGTAACTCTTTTGGGCAAAAATGCATTAAAGCATTTAGAAGGAAAACTTTTTTCCTGTAACGATAATTTAACACTACTTCTCCTTTTTTTGAAATTAGTTGCAGGGAAACAGCGTTTGTATATCACATGTACCCGTTTTGGAAGTAATTCCATAAGTAAAAGTTATTAATATTTTGAGAGAAGAAAACTAAGTACTGCAGCTTCCAAGCATAAGAGTCTTATTAGATAGATGAATTTTTTCAATCATGCCATTGGTCTGGAAATTGTGGAGCTTTTACCATCGGGACCTCTCCTAACCCTCAGCAGGTAGCTACAGGGGTGCATTCCTTTTTTTAAATTTATTTATTCATAATTCATATTACTATTCCAACCTAAATGTGCAAACTTTTCTTACTTGCAGCAAAATAGAAAAATACTAAAATTTTAATGAGAATAATTCCTTAATTAGCACAAAAAAAACGTGAATCGAATATATTTTCAGCTCGCTTTAAGTAGTTGCCTTAATATCAAAATTTTTTCAATTTTTTACCCATTGGCAAAATGGGTCTTAGTTTGGGTATGATGGTGTTCGCATTTTATTCGGACGTCATCACACTTTTCAAGTTTGTTCAAGAATAATAGTAGACAATGCGCATGCGTTGCTATGGCAACAGCTGGTGCTTGATAATTCTTTTAGAATTCTTTTTCCCACTTTTAATTTTGATATGCATTAATGTGGTGAGTTTATCATATTCTTTTTATTATTAACTTATAATTGCTGGCTTGACGGTGACTTCAATATAAATATAAATATTGATGAAGGAAAAGTGTTTTGTGATGTCTTGAAACACGTACATAGGCAAGATTTGTAAACCAATCCGAAGATAAATAACAATAAAAACAGTTTTTGCAAACCATGATTTGAAGTTCTGTGGCGTTTAACGGATGTACCGCTACCCCTTTAGCTGTGATCTCAAAATTTAAATTTAGTAACGGTTACCCAGGCTATTTAGTAGACAAATATCTAATGAATTACAGAAAACTCTTAACATTTAAAACTCATTTTTATTGCAACTCTAAATATTCAAAAAACATAATTCCACACATTTCCAAGTGCTAACATGGGAATGAACACTTCCCTTTATATATTAACTAGCTGTACCCTGCGTGCGTTGCAACGCTTTCAATTTGAATTTGAATTTTGTATTTAAGTGTGTAAATGACATTTGCGATTATGATTTGAAATGCAAATTTTATTTAATGGTGAAAAAAAGCAGTTAATTCTCTAGGATATCATTAGTGCATTTTCAAACAGACATGTATGGTGATGCACACGGAGCATGAAACATATTTTGGACAATGATCTGAAATAAGACTGGATCTATGGTGACATCAAGAATTTCTGCTGATATCTGATCAGTTTTAGAAGGTGGTTTTTTTTCAATAAGCCAAATTAGAATGTGTGCCTGAGGCAATCCTCGTTTTTGCCATTCAATAGAGTACACCCAACACCGTGTCTCTCTAAAAACATGACGCTTCACAATGAAATCAAGTAAAGATTATCATTTTTGTTTGAACACACGTGCTGTAATATCATGACGATCCGATGATGATTGTCCTGGTAACAAAATATCTCTAATTTCAACCCAAGCAGAATTGCACGTAAATGTAATAAATAAATCTAGGAGCCCATATGCGAGAACATATGTCATTGCATCCTGTGAGTATTCATACATGTGCCTTGGAGTCCAAGGCACATGTATGAATACTCAGACATGTATGAATACTACATTTGCAGGGAGTCCAAGTTTTTCTCCCTGCAAATGTAGTCGGCAATATAATCATTTTCCCCACATCATTAGGATTAACGTTACCATCATTAATTATTGCATCCCGTAAATGAATGCATTCTTCTGAACGTAATTTGGTTTGATTTAATTTAATATACAGTAGGCGTTCAGTTTCAATTTTCGCATACATATCGACAATGTATTGATGAACTAATTGTCGACATTTTAAAGTATGATTATCAGCGTTTTGGCAATCATTAATCTATATGCATAAAAACTTATTGCACTTGCTTTCTTATTGGTTTTCTCGCCTGTTTGCGGACTTCTTAATTTTATGTTAAAATAATATCCCTCCTCTCCTCACCAAAATAAAATAGGATATTGCAATGCATCATATGATCGATACGTTTCTGAGAACTCTTTGAACGTCACGATTTCTGCGATGAAGAACTGTATCGCGGGAGGTAAATTCTTCGCCAACTATAACAATAGCCACTTCATCCAATGTTGGCGCATTGTATTTTTCTTTGTGGTGGCCTACAGGTGTTTTTTCAGCTCTAATAACAACTTTGTAAATATCGGATGACATTTAGTCTAGGGCAATTGTGAACAGCCTAATTAACTGATTATGTTGATCGAAAAATTTTTGTAATACGGTAACAATTTTTCGTTTAGTGCCATTGTTTACCTGACAACGTTGATTGACTTGATCATTTGTGTTATCCATGAAATAAATTTGTAGAAATTTATGATCTGCGTTAGGCATTGAAAGAAGTGATCCTTGCACGATGATAAATTTGGCCTTGCACTTTGAATGTTGGGATGTAATTCTCGTTCAGGATACGTGTAGCACCGAATAAAGTCATTTAGAAACACGAATTGTACCGGCGTATATGCGCCAAAAAATGTTTCGATTGGTTTGTTTGACCTGATACGAAGGTTGATAATGTCTCGGCAGGCGACGTAAAATCTTGTAGTTTCTGTATGCTTCTAGAACAGCAAATTTCAGCTGTTTCATTTTTAAATTTGAGAGCATTACAAAACATACATAATTGATATATTTCTCCGATGATGACACTTGGGGGAAGACTATAGTTTGTTGTCGGATCATAGTGAAATGCACTGAAATTCAAATCAGAGTATTGGCAGCGTCTGAATAGCGAAATGCGTTCTCGGTCGGTTTTCATTCTTGCTTCCCGTTGCTCTGATGTTTCCGACGAACGGGCTTGTGTAGTTCGTAGTTGATTTGTTGACAGTCTTCTTTCCTGTTGCTCAGACGTTTCTAAGGAACGGGCAAAAGCATTCTGTTCTCGATTAGTTTCAAGTCTTTTTCCCGTTGCTCCGATGTTTCTGAAACACGGGTAGTTCTCTTTTTGCGCGCTTGAGATGTCGACCGACTAAGAGCGATTTGCTTAGGCGGCATATTTTTGCAAATATTCTTTCTGACAACGAAAAAGAAATGTAAAAGTTGGCAGTGGTCGCAAATTTGCTAAATCGAAATATCACATACATATTTTAAATAATAAAAAGAGCAATAAAAATGAGATGAATAAGAAATATGAAAATTATAAGATTTAAAACAAAAATCAATTTTATAAATGAAAGAAATAAAATGGATGAATTCGAAAACTTTGCATAAATAAACAAACAAACTAATAGTTTTCAAATGACAACTGTCACAGCACTGAAATCTTCGAAAAGTATATTTAATTTTGCTAACCTAAAATTACGTACTAAATATAAATATTTCTGAAAACGTGCAATTTGAATGAAATTTGCTTTTGTCTTTATATTTATTAAACAGTTTTCACAGTACTGAATCCGTGATACGACCAACAATTAAGAAATCTATTCTCGTTGATTTTACTTGCTTGTGCTCACCTGACATAAAGAAAAGCGCGAATTAAAAATTAAAGTATATGCAATTTACTTTAATTTACTTTTCTAAATGAATAGAGTTATAAGATAGAAAATATCACTGTTGTTATCTTCAAGATATTTGAAAATTGAATCGTTTATAGCAAAATTTAAAACAATGGCTAGCTTTTAACCAATCAGAAAATTCCATTTCGACTTTCACTGATATCGCTGGAACGGTTTATCGCACGGGATAAAAAGTATCCTATGTCCTTCTCCTGGCTCTAAACTACCTCCCTGCCAATTTTCAGCTAAATCGGTTCAGCCGTTCTTGAGTTATAAGTGAAGTAACTAACACGACTTTCTTTTATATATATAGATTAAAACAACATGCAACCTTAAAACACTCAAGCTTAACCTTCAATTCATACAGTTCAGAAAAGACATTTAAGAAATAAAAACTGCATTTAGCATTACTAAAAACAAAGACTTGGTTTATGATATCTATAAATCACACTTAAATACTCATTGTTCTCCTATACAAAAAAAACACAACGTAAACAATTCAGAATTTACGGTAAATGATTCCTCTAAAATGTAAACGAAATAAAATTTAAAGTTTTATAAGTACCCAAAAGAATTTACTGTTTGCCCTCTGGAACCGCCCACCGGAATGGTAGATGAGCTCGTGGACAACCTCCTTGGCTCGGATCTCGAAATTTCTCCAGCTATTCTAACTTCAATAGGCTTAGGCATGCAGAAGGGGAACACCGGACTCCCAGCATAGATTCATTCGGACTTGGCCCACCGTCTCGAAGATGCCGGCCTTCGGCTAATCACGGTCGTTCCTCCCGCTAGAGACTTCAGTTTAGCTTTCCATAAGTTCACGATCCACCATCTCCGAGGTACTGTCACGGACCACTCTTTCTGCGGACAAACTCCGTATCCTCAGGTTACTGCTCGGGTTAACTGCTTACTGCCTCGCTCTTCAGTTCTCTTTTATCCTCCCTTCAGCAAGGCGAAAGAATCTAGACTGACCTGTTTACCACGTCCAGAGTCATCCCGCATCCGGTGGACGTCAGAACCAAAAAAAAGATCCCTGAGAAAAAACAGTCATAAACCCACTAATACCCTATAGAAGTTATAATACCATCCTCAATAAATATTAATAAATTTAGTAACCTAGATTTCACCCCAAAAATCCCATTTTAAACGACTAATTCAAAATTTCTGAAAAAAATATCGTTATTATGATTGAATTTAAACTTCACCATAGTGGTACCATCTGCAGAAAAATAATCTATCTTTAAAAGTATTGGGAAAAAAAACTATAATAAATTTCTATTTATTACACGGAGTCAATCTAGAAAGAAAAAGCATTTAGCGAATGGGTAACCAGAGATCGTAATAAAGCGATATCATAACTTCTTTGTTTCTCTTTACTTATTTATTTTTGACTTTTTTACTGAAAATTTTTGTATATTTTAAAAAGCTTATTTTGAATTATAAACCTTTAAATTAATTGCAAGTAGTTTATTGGAATACAAATAAATGTTTTGTTACAGAATGCAACTCTGGACGGGGCAGCAGAAATTGCTCTTTTGATTTTCAAACTGGCAAAAAAATATGTTCATGTTCTGAGGATTATAAGCAAAACCATGAAGGTGAATGTGAAGGTAAGTCAAGATATTGCTGTAACAAATTTAGATCAAGTAAAACCATTCTCGAAGGCTTATTTCCAGTTTTATTCAGTCTGTTTTTAAAACTGGTCCTCAGAACAATTATATTAACTTTACTTCTATTCATTTTTTGTTAACTTAAAGTTATTTAGTTTACCAGATGATAGCTTCATTTAGTAAAGATGAGGATAACAACGAACGCTTTAACTCCTTACTTTCTTTTTTACCAAAACTCTTAGTTTTAAAATTCTGATAAGTGTGAAATATTTATTACTTTTATTCAAGTTGAATAAAAGACATTTTATGAGCTCATTATAAAACTCTTTCTGCCATTTTTTTTTTGCATTGCTCTTTATACACACTTTAGAGAGGAGTAATTCCCAGTGCAGAGTTTCAAAGTTATGTTGGCATGTTTTCCGGTCACAATTATGAATGGTATAAAGACCATCGCCAATAGCTCTTTGTGATGTATCATTACGATGTAACTTTTGGCTTGTTTATTTAATTCTTTTTTACAAAACTACTGATTTCAACGCAAAAGGAAAATTGTTGTAAATCGAGTGCTTTTTAAATAGCATGCAATAATTTTCTAAATAGTAAAATACAGTTTCCTAACTTTGGGGAGCGTAGTTCTTGGACAGGATGTTTCACAAATGTTTCATTTCTCTTTCTTACCAGCGTTGAACAACGGACCCATTTTTGAGTTTACAGCTATCAATGTTCAAATCCGTTGTCTTGTAATTTTTAACCCAACGAAGGAGGCAAAGGAGTTATTTGGAAGTCACTCTAAGAAGTCAAGCATGAAGACAAGCTAGAGCTAACTTTCGTAAAGGAATTTCTGATGAGGAGTTTCTATTTGTATAAGTTTTGACAGGGGTCAGTGAATGAAGTATATATAAATGGGTACAAAGTTTTCGAGCCAACTCAATCTGCAATAAATCCCGTGGAAGACTCTTTTGCTATGCTAAGTCCTCTCTTCAGCCATCTTTTCATTTTGTCATGTAAGTGGCAAAAGACCATATGGCCCATGACCACTATCTCAATGGAGTTTCCACCTTCTACCTTACAACATGTCATGATTTCGGATTATAACCTGAGTAACTCTGGTGTTGTCCCACCTTGACAAAAGTTGACAGATTTATGTCCACTGGGAATGTAACCATGTCCACTTGGACGCAAACCGATTATCACACCTGACTGACAGAAAGAAAAACTTGGTGTGGTGTCCGCCTAACAAATAAAATCTCCATGAGTGTGGCATTGTTCAGCTATCATAGCTTCATAGGTGTCAAGTGCTAATTTTCAACTAAGTATACTGTTGTAACCAGTAAATAAATATTTGATAAAAATAAATTAGAATTTTTCAAATTTATATTATAGTCTTCTAGATGACAGCCGAGCTGCATTGTTTTATCGAATATTTTCTAAGAAATATGAAGCTCGTCAATAGCCCGAAAGGAAATTCTTACTTTGAAAACCTCTGATCAACTTTAATCACTTGTCATTGGAGGAAATTTAAAAGAATAAGCTTCACAAGTAAAATGCCCGTAGAAATGTATATATCATAAAATCAAACTTCATAAAAATCTAGATTTTTTTAGAAAAAAAACTGAGATACATGAATATCATTAATGCCAGATGAAAGAAAAATCAACTAAATATGCAGAAAAAATGTAGAATAATTCATTTATCATCAACATCCTTGCTTTGTTATTAACATAATGAATTGTATTAATTTAGTACGCAATATCTACTGTGCGCAAATTTAAAACGATATCACCCTGAACAACTTTCATTCTAATGATCGAATTTTCCCGTACTAAGTGTTAGTCTTAATGATTCCTGAGGAGGGGATTTTAAGTATGCTAATTTATTAGCGCAAAATATTAATCAAGTTATGAAATCAGGCAAAAAAGCATACTTTCTTTGAATAATCATACATGTATGCGCATTGTATTGTATGTAGGATGGTTGCTGAATTTACGCATAAAAAAGAGTAAAAAAAGTGGCGTTCGCTAGCGAAAGTAAAAGTAATGCAGATGATTTTTCCAATTATGAAAATGTGAACATATACGAAGACTAATATTTAGCTTTTTTCATTTTGCCGAGATAATTATAGATTGTAAAATAATGGTAAATTAAACAGTTTTGCACATAAAAAAAATTAAAATTTCAACTTGGAACTTGTGTGTTATGTTTTATTTTAGTTCCTTGTATTTATAAGTAAAATGAAAAATATGATGATTTTTTGCATTTTTCTTCAAAAAAATTGGCAACTGAAGCGGTTAATTTTCAAACTTGTTTTACGATTTTCATCAACACTGAACAGATATCTGGTATAAAATACTCTCCATTAAAACAGAGTTCGTAAGTTTCCCAAGATTCTGAAATGGTTGCAGCAAAACTAAGAAGATAGAATGCATTTTATTACGTTTTCATTCAAAGCAAAGTTAAATTTCATTAACTCCAAATATTTGGTTTCAAAACTTAATTTAAAGTGAAAGAAGATAACTTCATACTTACAATATTACAATATTCATCATATTACTAATTACACATTTTCTAACTTTTTTAAGGACTGCATGAACCTTGTTAAAATATTAAAATACAGATGTTTACTTCGACGAGCATAAAATTCTGTTCGAAATAATGATTACAGCCTAAAAGTAACATTGGGCAATTGATTATCAAAACTTCATTAGCTTTAAAAAAATAGGATGATAAAAAAAAATGTCGACATGCTCCAATAGCTCAAAAATCATCCATTTTCAAGGCTCAAAAGTGATGAATGACTTGTGACGTCAATTTTTGATCGCCCAAAACGTACCGACTTTGACATCCTCATATTTTTAGAAGTCAAAGAGGTTTTATCTATTCACCTTAGTTTCTTGGTATTATTCATTTAGTGTCACGGTATATTAAATTACTTAACGCGGCATTAAAATAATTTTTACGTAATATAATAACATAGGCTCATAGATTGCAAAAATAATAATTAATCACGACTTTCTAAAAAAAATCAATGCAGTACAATTTTTTTACTACTAACATTAAAAACATTTTTTAAGCATGTCAAAAAAATTCCGTTTACAATTGAAATTTCAGGAGTCGAATTAGAAAATGAAATGTCTCCTATTTATTCAAACAATTTAACATTTCCGTCCTACTCGATGTTGATGAAAAAGTATTTTTTTATTTATCGATTCTAAAAGTTTCTCCAGATATATTTTAAGGCAGAAATGAAGCTAGGAACATTGAAGGAACTAAAAACAATGGAAATCTAAATAAATTTCCGATATTATGTAGAAGAATGTAAAAGAGATAATATAATATACATAGCAAAATACTAAATTTCAGAAAAATAGGCCAAATAGTTTCTGAGAAATTTAATTTTATTTATGCCAGTTTTTTAAAAGTCAATTTCTCAGGACCTTTTTGCCTGACTTTGCTCAGATTTTGTATTTTGTCTTTTGTCAAATGATATAAAATGATATAAAAAATTATATATTTCATTTTTGTCGATTTAGTATTAAATAAAACAAAAAGAGATAGTTCTTACATGAGCTTTTTTTTGAAGGACATTACCTTTGAATGAATGGATTCTATTATTGTGCACTAAATATTTTCGATTCGCTTTAGTAGTAAAATTATCTTTAAAAGGTCAAAACTTTAAACTGCTCCCTTGACTCTATTTTTCAGGTTGTAGTCATCCCTATGTTTTGAGGGTCAAAAATTTAAATCCGTCAAAAAAAAAATTATTCGGGAAAGTAAGTTTTTGCGTCTGATTTCTGAACTTCAAATAGTGTTTGGGCAATCTATAATTAGTAAAATTAAAGTCTCCTAGTGGACCTTTAAGATTAAGTTCTAACACATGAAAATCCGACCATTAGATCGACAGATATTCATGGTGTTCCGTTTATTCCCTTTGCGCACATTTACATTTTATTCATAAAATCAAATTTACATTGAACTTATAAATTTTATTGAATTTGTTTTGATATCTTTACTTACAAAAAATATAGCTGTTGAAATCTTTACTTTCTCTATATTTGTTTGCTAGCATTTTTTGCTATTAATTGAATTTATTTTACAGAGTGTGATTGTGGATATGATTCCAAAAGTTGTGAGTTTGAAGGCAATGAAAAGAAGTGCATTTGTAAATATAAATACATATATGTAGTTTCTAGCGGCAAATGCGAAAGTAAGTTGAAAAAATTTTATAATATTAAGATATATAATTTTCCATAAGTTATTCTAAAAGTTCCTTTGTAAATTTTTGGTCAGAAGAACAACATAAAATATAATTTTATTTCTAACATGCTCTATGTCTCTTTCAAATCTTTCAACAGGTTTGGAAAAAAAAATAGTACAATATTCTTGAAACAAGTTAAAAGCTCTGATTACTAATTTCAATGCTTGCTCCACATTTATTAATGTCTTAAGGACTATATTATTGTTTGAAATATTATTGTATCCAACTAATTTTTAAGGTAAACAGAAGAATTTTAATTTAATTTAATTAAATATAATTGTTAATTAAATATAATTATTTGGTCAAGTAAAAAATATTTAAAAAAAATGAAATTAGAAAGCAAAGACTGTTTTCACAAAAAATTAATAATGTTGTTCTAATTCCAACTAAAGTTCATATTTCATATTTGTGTATATATATTATTGGTCACTAATTTCCATGCCTGCTTCGTGTTTATAAGACTGCCTGCTAGAGTTTTTAAGACTATATTATTGTTCGAAATATAATTGTTTCTCACTGATTTTTAAGGAAAACAAATAAATTTTTTTATTTTTAAAATATAATTGTTTGATCAAGAAAAAGATATTTAAAAAAAAAATACATTTAGAACGCAAATAATGTTTTCGTTAAAAATTTAATAAAGTAGTTCCAATTCCATTTAGTTGATATAGATAATATTTTATACTTGTGAAATCTTTTATGCAATGAAACTAAAAAACAAGTGCGGACAGATCTTTTGCGACTTGTCGGTCACAAAATTTGAAATTTTAAGCATCACTCCTTTTTTACAAGAAGAAGCAGACCACAAAAATTTCGCATCTCTTTCAAACAGAGACTGGACTCTAAATTTCAATTTAAGGGCTACTAAGGATTGTTTTGCCAGTCAGCTCATAATTTATAATCTTATATATTACCATAAAAACTACGTATATTGTATTTTTTTTTCTTAAAAGAGTTGAAAGATTACAATTGCGATAAAAATGGTGGCTTTATGGCAAGCATTTTTTAATATTTATTTTCCACTTCAATGACTGAGACAGAATTTATATAAAATAAGAATATGGGGAGAACGTTAGTTTTCTTCATTTTAAAACCAACGATATATATTCATTATTTCAAGTAAGAAGTGCCAGAAAAAATCGTGCAAAAGAATTGAAATTATAACAAATTCCTCACAAATCGGAATTAAAATAAAAATTGCGTGAAATCAGAAATGAAATTTACTTTTTAGAAGGTCAAAATTCAAATATTTCGTATTTGAATTTTGACCTACTAAAAAGTAATTTTTAGCTATAGAGGTGATTTTTTTACTGATTAAAACAAATAGATTTAAATCAACTATAAAATTTAATTTACGTAGCTCAACGTGTGTTGTGATTTTAAGAAAAAAAAATGCATACTTACTTTCTTCTTCTTCTTCAGCACGACAGCCCCTTACAGGCCTTGCCTGCCTCAACCACACGTAGCCTCCAACGCCTCCTGTCCATGGCGACTTACTCAAGAGCATGGCATACTTACTTTTCCGTTAGAAATTTCTCGGAAAAATTATTAAAGAACAATTTATTAAATTTTTTTTCACCACATTCAAACAAAACAGTCAGATTACTAAAAATAAGATTGTAATCAAAATGTTAACTGTGAAAAAAACAGCTAATTATCTGCATTCACCTAATACGGTTAAACATCCAGAATTTTAAGAATTTATTTAGATGTTGTCAGACATAATATCTTCATATTCATATTAGCATTTCTAAAAACTTTATTAAATTTCTTAAAATCAACTGAAGAGTTGAAAAAAGATACTAGAAATGAACAGTTTCCTATTAGAAATGATATATTGACATAAGGTTGTCCTTAACTAGTAAAATTATTTCTCTTTCATTTCTTTCTATTGTGTTTTTAGTTAATGAATTTTGATGAAGTGGTTAAATATTTTTTTCTAGGATGTGATTGTGGGCCGATGGCAACTTCTTGTGAACTCACCTTCGACAAGTATACTAGATGCAAATGTTATTCTGGTTATGTTGCTGAGAGAAACAAATGGGAAATGGATGAATTTTGCAAAAGTAAATGTTATATGTCTCTTATTGAGTTAACATTTAAAATGCAGCGTAATTTTGCATGTGTCCTCTTTATAGAGCAAATGTTCTTTATATTTTTCGTATAAAGAATAGGCGTCTCATTGTTGCGTGATTTTTTCCACTCCCTATATTTTTTCCCTCTTCATTACCCAGGTTTCCTCAAATCTTACTTTTAGCTTGCTTTATTCTTTCATTCTATATGTGTAAATGTTAGTAGTCGTTATTGCCAATCATCCACCTACTTCCGTGTTGAAAGGTGCCAGACTGCCATAGGTGCCATATATATATATATATANGTTTAACCACTAAAACTGTGACAAGAGATTTTTATATATATAGATATATATATATATTTTTTTAAAGAAACGTAATGCCACTGTAAAATAACAAGATTTTCTGCACAATTGGTGAGCATAGGGAGGATCTTAAGACATCTATACTATTTAAAATTGTAGAACATTCCGTAGTCAGTTCGAAAAACGGGTATTCAGCTAAGAATAATGTATATAATCCAGACACATTTCCGTAAAAAGTACTCAGTTCAAAATAATTTTCTTTTAGACGCTTATAGAATTATAGCACATAATTGTAATACTTAATTTTTTTCAGTTCCTTTTCCTTCTGGTTGGAGAGTCGCCACCTATATTGTATCTGTATTTTTTGGAATCATCATTGTCGTCTGTGCGTTACTCATTTGCTGTAAAAGATGTCAAACTGATTCATGATTCAACTGTGGAATATCGAGTAAATAGCTTTGGTTTTAAAATTAGTGTTATATATTGGGTTGGCATGACATCAATTTTGTGAAATAAAGCTTAAATAAGCTTGATAAGCTTGTGAAATAAAGCTTAAACTTAAAGCTTGCAAAAAATGAACTTTAATCAGCCAAATATCTCCAATTTTGTTCATATGTATGCTGTTAATATATATATACCGCCATTTATATAGACACTTCATGATTTAATATTGATTTCAGCAAAATGGGCCATTGCTAACAAAAAACTCAATCAATTGCTGTAGGAGACAAATATTATTACTTAAAACTTTACTATTTGAATGTTTTTAAGTAATTGATAATCCGAAAGGTCGAATCTTACGCGATCGCAGCACTACTTCTCCTCAACAAAGCTATAATAATTTTGTACTACTTGCAAAAGATGTGTGATGCTTCTCATATAGTATATATATATATACAATAAAAACATAAAGACAAAAAAGATTAAAAAAGAAGCAGAGAAAAACGAAGAAAATGAAGAAAATTAATAAGTTTTCTTTTTATTAATCTTTATTATTTTCCACGTTTCTCTATATTATTAACTTATATAAAATTAACTTAATAAAATACAATTAGTTTGTTAATCAAACATACACACACCACAGAGAGATAAAAAGTAGAATTTGAACTAGGCTAAACATAACAGAAATGAATAAAAATTAAATATTACGGAATTCTTTTATGCTTTGTAACAGTTAATTTCTGCTTATATGAAATGCTCAGCAAAATGCAAGTGATAACAAACTTTGACCTTCTCGTGCTTTGTTGTAAACAATCTACCATACGCCAAAATTAGTGAAAAAATTTCTTGAAATGGAGTAAATGCATATGGTTTGATGTAAGCTTCCTTAATTGTTTATGTTCAGAATTAACTATCTATACCCTTTAAGGTGTGTATGGAGGCTTGAATAGGTAATGATTCGAAATAAATTATTTTTTCATGCAATTTTTAAAGTTTTTCAAAATTTATATTGGATCCCATTCTTAACAATGACAAAATAAAGATTATAATAAAAAAAATCTGATTGACAAATACTAACTGATTAACCCTAACTAATTAACAGATGCTACTTTCTTATTGTAACGAAGTATTGTTATGTATTTTTCAGATTTATCATAATGTCTACAAAATAGAAAAGGGAAATAAATAAAATACAAATAAATTAATAAAAAAAATCTAACACAAAAATAATGAAAAAATAAAAAAAAATTTAAGAAAAAAACTAATATTTATATGTATATTATAGGCTCCTGATCAATTGGACCAAAAGCGATAAAATTCGATATTCAGATAGTTCGAACACACGGAAGGTCACTGTCGACATTAGAACTTTCTCTGACAAATCGTTCGAGCGAGATGAGCGAAAAATGAAATGGAATTTTCTGATTTCTTCAGCGTCAGCCATTGTTTTAAATTTAACTATAAACAATCTAAGTTTTCAAGCATTTTAAAGATAACATCAGTGTAAGATACAGGGGGGTGGACAAAATAATGGAAACACTTCTATACCAATACATTTTTTCATAATTCTCCTGAAATAATTAGAGAATCACTCTGCAACTGCAGAAGATTAAATAAATAAATTATATGTTATATATGAATTGCATATTAATTTTACTTGTAGAATAAAATGAAAAATATATACTATTGCAAATAAAAATGGCATAACCTTGATTCTCTAAACTATTATAAAAATTTTATGTTTTTAATCATGAATTCACATTGATTCATATAAAAAATTAGATCAAGAAATCAAGAGATGTTCACAAAATTTATATCTTACATTACCAGGCATGACCTTTTCCGAAATGTTTGTCTAGATTTAAAATAATCAAAGAAAAATTTTGGAGCATTGGTAGCTCAGTTCACATTCATTCTTTCTTTACAATATTGGTTAATAAGAGAAGTAAGCGTTCAAAACATTGCTCATTTTCAAAATTGTTTGCTGGCATCTTCAACCCAGAGACTCATTAGAGTAAAAATTTCATGACCATTGAGATCTTTCTTTTATAGGATGAGTATTTTTAAACGTATGATAATTTGGAACAATTGAGTAATTTTTTTGTGTAATTGTAGAGCAATTTTTATACTTAATAGTAATAAGTAAAAAGCCCATGCTGAAAATTGTACGTTGCCTAATGTACTTTTGTTTTAAATTTGAATTGAATATAGTTATTTACAATTAAGGAGAATACGTCCGAAGTAAATGTTTGTAATTAGAATCTTGCCATGTTAAAATGAATAAATAAAGAAAGAAATAGTCATTTGAATTATTCTTTGTGTTTTATTAAACTATTTTTTTTTAACATTGATTACTAATTTTTTTTTACATTAATTACTCAATTTTTTTGCATTAATTACTCAATTTTTTCATATTAACATATAACATAAATATTTATGTATTTTTTAGCATTTACTATAAGCATGTATTTATACATTAAAAAAAAGTATGGTCAAAATTATCAGAATATCGTAAAACTTAACCTTGTTTCTGGCTCTACATCAAAGAGCTCTGTAATTTTTATTGAGGAGCTTTGGTAACAATTTCGGTAAAACTAACTATAAAAAATGGCTTTGTGTGATAAAATTTGGTAATTGTGATACAATTTGGTAATCTTATCATGATATCTTAGAGCCTGTTGCAAAAAAAATTTATTCGGTTAAATTTACTTTTCTGTTTTGTACTTTTTTTATTTTAAGAACTATAATTTTGAGAGCCAGAATTTCCGGAAAACCATTATCATTTAAAAGGATGAAAAACTAAATAAAAGCTTGAAATACCTAATATTTTGGATTTAACTATCAGAATTATAGTTCATTTTATCAGAAATGTTATTACCATGCAGTATCGTAATTTTGCCATAATTGTATCTCCGTACTTAAGGTGGATTTTAAAATTATTACATATAAAAATTTATTAAAAATTAGGGGTGTTAAACATCACGAATTAAATTTTTAAATAAAAAAAAATGGATCAAAAGTTTTTGCAGGAAATTTGGGTTTTTAAAACCTACATAACAAAACGTTTGTTAAAACGTATGGGTGTTAAAATCACATAAAGAAATGTTAGTTTTAAAAATATAAGGAAAGACCTTTTACACTAAAATTGATAAAAGAAACAAAGGCTAAATTTTTTGAGCTTCAATGACAAATAATTCAAATAAATCTGTATAATTCAAATTTCTTGAACAAGGAAAAAAGAGATTTAAGTAAGGAGAAAAAATTTAATTAATTAAATGAATTAAAAAGTGAATATAAAAGAAAGAATATAAAGAAGGCTATAAACGAGTTTAAATGAATTAAATTTTTTTTTATTTACATCAGGCTCAAAAATATTCTTTAAATCTCTATGTTTGAATGAAAAATTCCTTATCTTGTCTCGAAATATAGAATGTTTTAAGTATTGTTTTATAATTTAAAAATTCTTTTAAGTACCTCTTAAAACTATCGAAACTAGTTTATTGAAGATAAGAAGCTATTTACAGAACCATTATCATATATCAATAAGTAAAGCTTTCATTCTCATTTGATATTGAATGGAATTAAATATTTTATGCTTGCAAAACTACGCAGTAAGTAAAAGTATTTACGAGAGAAATAGCACAAATATCGACGACAACATGATACCATACAGCCATGGTAAGAAAGAGAAAAAAAAAACATGAAGCCAGTTAAAACTAATGCAAGAGCAATTTTTTTACATGGAAATAAAGAGTTTACTGCAATCAAAATATTGGAATATTTGAAATGCATCTTCATGGAATAACCTGTATAACCCTTTCATGCAAAGGGCACACCAGTGCTCATTTTATATATTTTTTTCTTTCGTTTTAATTACATGGAAAAATATATTTCAGCATTTATTTTTTTATTGCACAAATGATTCTAATAGTTCTCAAAAAATCTGCTAGATTATCGAAATTTCATTTGGACTAAAATTTAAAATCAAAATATAAAATTAAAAGTTGTTTAAAATATTTTTTTACATAATCAGAAAATTTATCAATAATTGATTTTGTTAATTAAAGTAATTTCAATGATGAATAAATGTTTGAAAGAACAAATAGTGAATAACAAATTTGAAAAATTAATATTTGGATGTGAGCTATGTTTGGCAAATTTTTCATTTAACGCCGAAAAATATAATTGTGTTTTACGATCTATTTCATAACCATAAATTAACAAAATGCAAAATATAGTATTTTCCACTGATTTTGACCTAAATTAATACAAAATAATGAAAAAGTATGAAAAAATATTGCTTAATAAAAGTTATGCGTCAAAAGGTTTAAAACCTTATTACAAAAGAATGCACCTGAAATAGAAATGTATTAAAATGATTCTTTAAATTCCTAAAATTCATTCACATAAATCTCAGTTAAATAAATTCTGTTCCAAAATTTCAGAATTAATAGAAAATTTGCTAAAACACTCATAAAACTAACTGTATAATTTATAAACGTATGTATGTTACTTGAATGGGATTGTGGTAATGATTTTTAATTGTATTACTAATTTAACATACTTTATTATAATCATTATAAATATTTAATCTTTCAGAAATGTGTGTTACGTAGCAAGAATGGTAGCGATTTCGACTTTACATGAAACCATCATAACTCAAATTGCCAATGATAATATTATTTTTTTCTTGTATTTATGATTTTTTATAGGTACCATGGACATTGTTAAAAAAAATCGCTGCAAATATTTCCATGTATCGAAGATTGTATTTGACTCTTACTTAAAAGTTCTGGATTAATTTATGCACAGTAAAAAATAATATTTTTACAAATCAATGTGAAATACCAATTCAAATTATGCCCTGACCGATAAAAAACAGTTTTAAAAACTTTTTGTTGTAAGTGTGCAACAATTAGATAGTTTTAAATTTCATTTTAATAAAATTTCCAGCAACAATCGTTATTAAAGTGATTTTCTGTTGCTTAACAATGTATTTTTTCAGTTATAATACCAAAATTTCAACAATTGAAAACATCAATAAATGTTTCATTTTTTAAAGAAGAATTTCATTTTAATTTTTGAGCTTGTGAGTTATACTATAACGTTTGAGCATAAACTTCTAGAGTGATTAAAAAGTGGAAAAATGTTTGGTTTCATTAGAAACTGGTTGATGTTCTTGGGGTTTTGTAACAATTACTAAAATATTTACATTTAAGATTTTCAATAATATTTCACTAATAAGCTTATTGAACTATCAAAACATAATGAAAATTTATAAGAATATCTAAAAAATGATTTATGTGATTAATATGACATTGAATCTTATCTTATTTATTATCTTATTATCATCTTATTTAATCTGAATTTTTAACATACTTTTAAAATCTCTATTTGTAAACATTTAACTTAACAAAAGTTGATATTTGCTAACATTATTAAATATTCATTTTATTTTTAGTTTAATTTTTTAATGACAAAAAGCTTTAAACCTATTATTTAGAATGTGTTAGATTATATATTAATTCATTATACTTATTATTACTTATTTATTTCTCTATCATAAAACTCCATTAGCCGTCTGCTTAATAGAGCATTCAAAATTTCTTGATGATTTACATAAACTGTTCACTGAAAATTCAAAGTCATAGCTTTTTTTCTTTAAAATTTTTTTTCTTCATAAGTACGATTTTATATAATTAACATGTACAGTTTCTCCGTAAGAAAATTTGTAAGGAATAAGTAAATTGGTAGTTAGAAATTCAGCCAATTAAATCTAAAAGACTGAATTTTGGAAGTCAATATTCAAGATTTGTTCTAAAAGGTTGTAAAATGTTTCATTTCTTTAAGACGTGGTGGAAAAAATTCCAATTTTGAATTTGTAGCCCTTAGCAATCATTATAATATTTAGATTTTAGACGTTGAATAAATGTTTTATTAATAAACTTCTTGAGTTAGTAGAAAATAAAGAACGTGCTTAAAAAAGTTTTGAAAAGATTTACGTGAATAACATATTTATTATATTAATCAATTTTTATGTATGTCTTTTATGACTTTAAAGTCAACATTTGTTGATATTTAACTTATGGTATTACAATTGTTACCGCAAAATCACATATTTATATATAATGTTGTTTTTAAGAAATTAGGAAAGATTTTGTATTTTTACGTTATTGAAGAATGAACTACTCAAAGATAAAATGCACTACATTAAACTATTAACTGTGTATGATGAAATTTCTCGTCATACTGTTGAAATTTTTCATAATTGTTCATATTATTTACCATCACATTTCAACTTGGTCAACGTGAAACAAGTTTAAAAAAGTTTAATCACCATCATCATAGTTGGCCAGACAGCTCAATGTGGGCCAATGCCTTCTAACTACTTCTGATTGCGACTTCTCTAACGATCTCCAATTCCCTTCATTAATTGCAAGAAAATCAGACTCCACCGAATCAGCCAATCTCAACATCAGCCCATCCCCTCTTTTTTGTTCCAGTGGCTCTAAAAAGGAATATTGATATTGAAAGAGAGTTTATTTGTCGTTAGGTCAATGAGTGGATTTGCACAAAAAAAGTTTTTTTTTCACAACATAAAAATAGTCTCAAGTTAATGAAAAATCTTCATGACTTTACCATCTTAATATTAAAAGATTACTTAACATGAATAAAGTTATTTTATACATATTATTAAATTTCCATTTAAAGTTATTATTTTAATACACAAAATTTTTTGCTGTTATGAGATGAAATATAAATTTTTTTCACCAATTTGTTTTTTCACAAGCATATAAGTTTCGGTGTGAAATTGTTTTGAATTTAATAGAAAAAATGTATAAGAAGGGTAAAAATTTTAAATAACTAAATAATAAATTTAAATAAATTTTAAATAATTTTAATATAAGGTGCTCAAAAAATCTTTCAAGATAAAATAAATTTGTTTCCTGCAAGTATTTGTCAACTAGGATAGTTGTTTTATGCTAAGTACATGCTGTTAACTTCATTACAGTTACTTTTAAAATTACTTCGATTGCGCAGGTACAGTAATATTTGTTCGTTGAAAATAGAATATTCAATTCTCATTATGTAGTTATTTTTCCACAAGTAAATTCTTTTCTATTTAGAAATTTGTGTAATTTCATAAAAAGGACGTACCAAAATTTAT